GCGTCTTAGTGACGGAGAACTTGTGAAAAAGGTTCATGGTGGAGCTGGTAGAGAGCAGGTGTCACGTGCATATCTTGCACTTGAAGACACTGTTAGTCATGGGCAACTATCAGGTACTTGCATTGAGCGCATTGTTTCGAAGGGATCGCATCACTCAATCTTGCATTGGGAACTAAAAACTGGGAAAATTATTCATCGCATGCATGGTCACTCCCATGATATTCGTGCCTTGGCTTTCATTCCCGGAGGAGAGTTTTTGCTTTCTGGCTCACGCGACAAAACGCTGAAAATGTGGAATTTGAAAAATGGACAATTGTTAGAGGAGTTCCATTTTGAACATTATGTTCTTGCGATTGCCTGTGCAAAAAATGGAACTGCTTGTGTCGGATTGCAAGGTGGGCAGGTTTGTTTCTTGCGCATCAAAACGTTAGCAGCAAATGCTCAAAAGAATTTATGATAAAATTGCTTTAAACAACAATATGTTGTATATCATTGTATAATTTTAATAGATCAGATCACTAATATAAGTAGATATGAAATCAACATGTTAGACGCAGCCTAAATTTTTCTCCAGCTGTTTTTATTTTCATTTAATATACGCAAAGGAAGCAGTGGTAAAATATTGGGCTATAGGTATGGAAGTAATAACTTTAGACGGTTTTCCTCCAACTAATGAATTCATGACAATCATCAACATTTCACTTAAAAGTGCGTCGAATTTTTTTTTCATGGTATCTTTGACAAAGAGCTGCGATTTTTTTAACTTCAAAAAATGATTCTTATACGATTTTAGCTTTCAACATTTCTTTATTTTTGATCGATATCAAAGACAAATGGTTGTTATCCTTTCACTTTTATTCAACCCTCCCCGTCATATTGTACATATAAGTGGTGGTTTGTATTTGATTATATCTTTTACTTTAGTCTCATTATTTCTTTAACTACTGCGATCACAACATGCTTCCATAGCTAACAATTCAAAAATAGTGTCCTTATAAATTCGTATAAAATGTATTTATACTTATCTTATTTCATTGATGTAAATGTGGTATAGTTATAATTTAGCAAATGGCTTGTTTTAGGAAGATCTCATTTAGATTATTATCTTTAATAATATTGAATAATAATTAATAAACACGTAAAATACGTGGTTTTGAGAAACGTTTTGGATGTACTATGTAGAAATTGTTTGTATCAGTAAATGTGGTGTATACAGATATTCAGCTTTAAACACACATAAAGCGTAGTTTCAGCTTTAAATTTGAAGTATATTTTTTCGTGCAGAAATGGTAATACAAAACTACGAACAGGAAATTTGATTTTCAAAAGCTGAAACTGAACATGAATTTTGCGTTGTACAACAAAATAAAACTTCAGTCCAAAAAAACGCAGAAAAAATAACATGAAATAGATAAAGCAAAGCTCTTTGGCTACATAGACACTTCATGTGTTTCAGTGTTTGCATTGAAATTTGTGATATGATCAATCAGCAAGCCACGCTGCAAGCTCATCTTAAAAGCTATAACGTAACACTGCGTTGTCTTTGAACCTCGCTTGCATGTGTTACATGTACAACTTGTTAGTTTTAAATGGAAGAGTGATAACTTTTGTCACAATCCTCTTAGATGTTCAGTATGCTTTGAAGAAAAAAATGACATTTTATTCTGTTACACAGGTAATATTTGTACTTGACGACTTTTCAAAAGTCGTCTCCTATAAAATATTTTGAACTCCGACTTCTATAGAAAAGATAGACAAAAAAGTGACTTAAATGTAGACACAAAGTTACACAAAAAGACAGATAAAAAGATAAACAAAAAAATACACATGAAAATAAACACAAATTATGGAAAGGACGACTGTTTTAGATGTCGCCTCCTATGAAATGTTTTAAACGTCAACTTCTATAGAAAAGGTAGGTAATAGAGTTAACTTAAGTGTAGGCACAAAGTTACACAACAAGATACACAAACTTGAAAAAACGGACAGAAAGGAAGACACAAATTGGTAGACTACAAAAAATACACAAATTTAGACATAAGGTGGACAACAAGGGACGCAAATTGATAGATACAACGATAAAAAAAACGATGACTTCAAATGGTTTGACCGATAACGGAGTTCAAGTACGCCTATGTAAGCCATTCCATTGGTCAATAGCCAGGTCAGTGGACGATCTGGAATATTCTCGACTGATAAGCGGGGTGGCCGGACCGATAAGGGAGTCCAAATCCTATCGTGTAGTTGGGTCATTTAAATTTCTGTCTTACTGTGATTGGTTTGAACGATTTCGATTGATAGCCCACTGTACTAACACAGTAGATAACCATCATCTTGTGGCTCAAAGTTGTAATATAGTTTTTTTATCATCTTTAGCTGTTGTATAAGAATATACAGGGAAATTGCAGATTTCTCTGAACTTTATTTTTTTTACTACCGATGACGTCATCAAACACGACATTCGCAGAACTCGTTATAAATGTAAAATATGGGCTGGCCCTATATCAAAATTTTGTGTTACTAGGCATAGTAAGAATGTGAGAAAGTTTCATACTTGTATCATCAAAGTGAAGAATTTTGTCATTAACAGCTGGACTATACGTTCTGTATTCACCTCTTCCCATATGTCCTTTGATGTGAACATTAGGCGTTGGCATCGCTAGATTTGCAATGTATGGTATATATTTATGATAAATCCATATAGACTATAAGAAGCAATTAGAAAAACTTATTAAAACCGCATGCCATAAACAGTGCGGGCTCAGAAAACAAGTTTGGCCTCTTTTGTTGCCATTTGGCCACTTTTCAAACCATATTTGGCTACAAACGAGTGCTGAAGCCTAATAACCCTGGTTTCATTGCATTTATTTGGAAAATCGTTTACAAACTACAATGTTAAATATTGATATGTATGCTGCTGCTCAGACTGCAATTTCGCAAGAGAATGATAAATCTCTGAATGAATTGAAATTGCGTTTGATTGAGGAATATTGTGGGGCGACTAAAATGTCGAGAGAGGAATTCTTATCATTGCTTTTGAAAGACAAAACATCATTGAGCAGAGAGTTCTCAGCAGAAATTAACATCCCCAAAATCGTACGTAAGCAACACGAGGACAAAGGAAATGTATGCATGGCTTTAAGGTATCCTAACCATTAATATCAATTTATACGACTATGAGATTTGGTTTATGTCTATTGACTGTTGTAGTTTATGTCTATTGACTGTAAATTTTAATGAAGCAGATTTCATTTTGTGCAGTGTATACTAAAGATCTACGGCTTGGGCTTTTAATTTTATTATAAATATTGGCATAAATTCAGCGAATAGTGAATTTATATTTGAACTTTAAATTATCTTCTACATGTAACTACGTTGCTATGTTAGATATTTCCTGGCCAGTTAGTTAAATTTTTGTTGGAGGACTTATAGGAACACGACTTTTTTATTCAATTTAGATCAGAAGTATCTGGCAACTGTCTCTACAGTTCAGTGTCATTGCTTTTGGCAGGTGATAACAGTTTATTGCATATTTTGAGGCAGTTAACATCACTTGAGCTGTTTTGAATGCTACTTTTTACTGCCAACATCCTTTATTTTCCTCAATTGTTGAACAGCATAAAGAATTCAACAACACCTCAAAGAATATTTTACCTTTGACAGTATCTCAAGACTGTCTAGATTCTGGTTTTGTAGGTGTTGATCTTGTCAAAAAGGAGGCCTTTTTGAATTGTCATGACCAAAAGTGGTCATCGTTTCTATGCATTTTAGCTCTTTCTTCTGTGTTGGAGACAAAAATTTTTACTTACTACCCAGATTGTGGAGAGAGAAGGCCTAAATCAATATTCAACTCTCTTGTTTGTCCAAGAAGAATAGTTAAAGAATCAGCCGATGCAATTCATCTTTTGTTTTGTTATAAAGGGATAGTTAAACCAGATCAATGTTTCCAACCTAATCATTTTGTCCTCTAGTTTTTTTCCTAGCAAAACTAAAGGACAATTTCTGGTCCAACATGCCCAGTGCCTTCAAAAAGCAAAAGCTGAAAAAAGTCTGGGAATATCAGTAAGTTTTTTCAAAATGGAAAAACCAGAAATCATTACAAGTGAGGTTTCTTGTACTACGGTTACTGAACAAACCATTGAAGATTTACAGGTAAAGCCTAACTTTATTCACAATTTTGATGTAGCTACCTACTACAAAAGAGCTAAAGGTTTGAAAATGTCTGATATTTGTTTGCTTATTAAAATGTTTTTAAACCTGATGAAAATTACACTTTTCCTCCTTTGAGTGAGAACAATAAAAGGTCTTTTAAATATGAATGGCTCAAAGATTTTAACTGGCTGTGTTATTCACCAAAGAAGATGGTGCTTATTGCTTATCATGTGTTCTTTTGGACATCAATTCCCCAGTAAATGCTCGAGAATAAACAATCTATTTCGTTCACCTTTTCGTCATTGGAATGATGCTGTAGGTACATTTAGGCGACATGCTGGAAATTGTAAGGGGGAAAAAATGGGACTACATGCATCTACTTCTCCAATTTTGAATAATATATGCTCTCAAATGTCAGGTGTAGCTCAACCCATTGAAAATATCTTAGATACTAACATAAAACTTGAAATTGAGCAAAATAGGAAAATTCTTAAACAAATTGTTGATACAGTTCTTTTTTGTGGAAGGCTTGGCATTGGATTACGAGGTCATCGTGACGATGCTCAATTTCACCCAGAGGTCGGTTGCTATTCAGTCAATGGCAATGTTGGTAATTTTGTTGAACTTTAAATTTTAGAGTTAGAGCTGGTGATCAAACTTTGGAAAATCATTTGCTCAAATGTGGCAAGAATAAAAGTTATATTTCCAAGACCAGCCAAAACAAAATCATCAACTGTATTGGTCAGGTAATATCAGAAGATATTATAAACGAGATAAAAAAAATAGATATTATTCTATCGTTGCAGATGAAGCTGCTGATTCTTCTCACAAAGAGCAATTGTCCCTTGTTCTACAGTTTGTTGACTCTTCAATGAATGTTAAAGAAGAGTTCATGTGTTTCCTGCATTGCAAATGGGGGTTGAGTGGTCAACAACTTTCAAAGCTTATTTTAGAAACTCTAGAGAAATTTGCCTTACCCATTATGGATTGCAGGGGACAAGGTTATGATGGTGCAGGGGCTGTTTCTGGGCATATAAATGGTTTAGCAGCCCACATTTTAAGAACTAATCCTAAAGCTCTTTACACTCACTGTTACAGTCATCGACTAAATTTGTCTGTCTGTGACACTCTTTCTAACGTTGAAATTAATAACATGTTATCTGTTGTTTCTCAAGCTGCCAATTTTATCAACATATCACAGACACGCAACATACCCTTTGCTGAGCACGTTAAAAAGTCAGATGTTCAGACCAAGAAGGCAAAACTGGTAAGTCTTTGTAAAACCAGATGGGTTGAGCGAGTTGACAGTCTTGACACGTTTCAACAGTTGTTTATCCCTTTAATCGACACTCTTCAGGACATGATAAACAATGTAAGCGGCGAGGTGAAGCCTTCCCTTGCTGCTGATGCTTCCCAGTTACTTTCATTAGTTACTCAATTTCATTTTATTGTTGCGCTAGTTATTACAAGAAATATTCTTGATGCTACTCTTCCAGTCACGCAATTGTTGCAGGGAAAACTATTGATGTTATGGATGGTTTTCATTTGATAACCACTTTGAAGAATGATGTAGCCAACATGAGGAAAAGCATTATTTTTATCATAACACTTGGTATGAAGAGGCTTTAAAACTTGCTGAAGAGGTCAACGTTCAAGAAACAAAAAGCGAATTGCTGGAAGACAAACTATGCGATCTAATCCCCAGTCAATCATTCAAAGAACATTATAAACTAACCATCACTATTCCTTTATTAGACCATCTTCAAACATCTTTGAGAACTAGGTTTAACTTGGATAGTGTTAATGTGTACCGCGGATTATCTATCGTTCCTGTCAAAATGATGACTCTGTCGGACAAAGGAATTGATTGGAAAGAACAGTTTAAAAGTGTTGCAAAATTCTATCATGATGACTTGCCCAACCCCCTTGGTTTAGATGCTGAATTAAGGCAATGGCGTTTATACTGGGAAACGCACAATGGGCCTTTGCCAGAAAACATCGTCAAAACACTGAAGCATGTAACATTTCCAGGATTTGAAAATATTAAAGTTATTCTTCGCATTTTAGGTACACTACCAATCACCTCATGTGAATGTGAGAGATCAATTTCAGCACTGAGGAATCTAAAAACCTACCAAAGGAGCACTATGGTAGAGGAACGTTTAAATGGCCTGGCTTTAATTCAAATTCACCCAGAAATTATTCCTGACATAGAAAGAGTGATCAATACGTTTGCTGAAGGTAATACACGTTTGAAATTTGCTTAATGTGTTATGGCTACGTTACTGTAGAAATATTAATGACTTTGCAACTGGCTGCTTAATGCGCCGTTGCTGCAGAAATGTCTTACAGCACAACTGGCTGCTTAATGCGCCGTTGCTGCAAAAATTTAAGACAGCACAACAGGCTGCTTAATGCGCCGTTGCTGCAGAAATGTCTTACAGCACAACTGGCTGCTTAATGCGCCGTTGCTGCAAAAATGTAAGACAGTGCAACTGGCTGCTTAATGCGCCGTTGCTGCAGAAATGTAAGACAGTGCAACTGGCTGCTTAATGCGCCGTTGCTGCTAAATCAAAGACTGTCCATGTCCGGAATCACATTGTTGCTTTGCACTATGTGTTTCCTAGGCATGCTGAAGAGCCCTGACATTGGGCGAAACGGTCTTAGCGTGTTTGTCCTCGATATTTTGTAAGAAAAAAATGAAAAACTGCGATTTCATTCACTTTGAAAATTTGTTGTAAAGCTATTCCAAAACGCTGGAAATCGCATTTCTGGGACCCTAGGCTTCAAAATTTTCCAGGGGGGGATGCCCTCAGACCTCTTACGGGCAAACGCCTCCGGCGTTCGCCGGTTTAGGACTGACGTTTGGAAAATCCTAGATCCGCCCCTGGTTGCAATAGTTTAAGACTTTTCTTTTGATTAAATGCAGTCTAAGAATATTAACAACATCACACAATGTATTGTTCAAATTATGCATATCTTTAAATTCACGTTTTTAAATTCTATAAATATTGACAAATCTTGTCAAGATTTACATAATGGAGTTTCCTGCAATTGTTTCTCCATTAACTGGTATTTACCACTAATAGGCAATGCATTTACTGAATTTAAATCAAATCTGAACGGCAGAAATACAATAATTTCATCTGACAATTTTTAAATTTAGTTTACTATGAATTTGATTAATTCACTTACCTTTACTTTAACTCTGCTCAGATTTGCTTCATGAGCAATCTTCTTAATAAGAGCATGCCTGCTAGTAGTGCAGATATGTGCCGATTCTGGGTCAAAGTGTTCATTTTCAAAAGCACCAAATTTTCAGGAAAGGGAAATCAAGTCGTGTTGGTGAATTTCTGATATAGTGCCATTGCAGAAATTTAGGTTAACAAGGCAATTTATTAAAATGACCGGCTTATACAGCGGAAGTAAAAATTAAAAACTACATTACTGCCGTAGTAACGAACTAATTTGATTAGAAAGATTTTTAACAACACGAAACAAATTTCTAACCATGTATAAGTTGCATGGTAGCATAAAATGTATAGATGAATAAATATAATTGTTTTTAATTTTCCCACAGAGCCGGAAATAAAAGACTTGGAAGAACAATTTCGCCATTTTGCTTATTAAAGAGCACGTAAAACAGGCTTTTATGAGAATTTCCCCACATTGACGTCGATTCATTCAACTTTCACTGTTGTCAATAAGAAAAGAGATGCTAATCATAACATAATGTATGTAACGATAAATGACTTTTCAAGATTTTTCATGATTGACAATACTAATGTTGCTTGTTTGTGAAATACGTTTGGTTTTTTATTTTTATAGGTTTTCTGTATTGATATATTTTTAGCTTGATTTTAGTTGGGAAGAGATTTTTTTGATTCTGAAAAAGAATTTTTATCGTATTAGTCAAATTGTAAACAAAACTACGATAGCTATACATGAAAAATAAGACACTTGCTGTTGGTTCAATACTCGAAAGTAATTTTTTATAATTAAAAAATCAAAATATCTTCCATTCTTTTGCAAGTCTAATCAAGTGACCCAAAGGCTATAAGTGTATTATGATTATCTGATGCTATGCACGGCAAAATTTTTTCTTCAATTGATCTTGAATTTGTCATGAATAAAATACTTTTTCGCATATTTATGCTCTGTTGAACGGCTCCATGTATATAATGCTGAAGGTAGTGACGTCCTAAAAACATACTTTACTTTGCTGAAAACGTGGAAAAGTTTCCTGATTTGAGATGTATGCCCAAGCAAATAAATCTATCCCATTTAAAGTAAAGTGGCGGGATTGCTGAAACGTTAATAAAACCTAAAGCCTGTTAGCATAGAAGTTAATATGCTCTTTCCATTTTGACCATGCTGAAAAGAGCTAAAAAGAGGTAACACGAAAACCATCCACTTGGTGGTAGTGGAAAGTTCACTTGCTAAAATTCTTGTGCATATACCAAAGAGTCAAGTCTGTCTTGTTTCCTGTGCAACTCGGATGATCCTGTGTTAAATGGCGTCTCAACATTTCGATTGAATGCTCAAGTACGGGAGTGTAAATTGTTATTAAATGATGAAATGCTTTTAACTAGGCTTAGCGGGGGATATCTGATTGCTGTGGAGCCACGATATTATGCTGAGTTTCATTCTGTGCTATACAGGAATGCAGAGCACGCCAGGAAAGTCAAAACGCTGCGTAAAAAAATGACAAGTCATCTGGAGGTCAATGCCTGGCAGAGCTTGTCACATTCATTGAAGAAAGCGATGAAATAGTGAAGAGCTGCCTACATTTAAACTTGCTGACCTGGAAGGATCTATGCAGACTACTTGCAGCATCTCGGTTATGAGTCAGCTTCAAAGCGCGACTAAATGTACGTTTATTATGTCAGATTCCTAACTTTCTTACGTATGCTAAAGGATGCCATGTATTTCTTACTTTTTCAGAAAATGTTTGGAGTACACTATATAAAATTCACAAGACGAAACTCGATTACGAGGCCATGCATAAAATGAAAACAGCGTCAATTATCCGTGAAGTTATTTTCGCCATTGAGTACTTTTGAGTGAAATTGCCAAGTGCATTTTGTCCCAAAATCCTTTTTATGCCTTGTTAATATGATTCTTTATGGTCCAAACATAGCTAACCAGGACAAAAAATCATGCAATGAGCAAGCAGCTTTGACTATTGCACAACTGGTGCAGTTTAATACGTATCACCGTCACCGACATGAAGAATTTAAGCGGAAACAAAGAAACAAATCACGTGAAGCTCCTCTTTCAATCTACACAGGGGTATCTCTGCATTCCAAAACTCAAAGCCGTGATACTGTGGCGACACTGCATCCATTAGGAATCTCTATTTCGTACGACAGAGTATTAAGCATTTCCACAGATCTTGGTAACAAAGTTTGTCGACGATATTGGGAGATGGAAGTATGCCTTTCATGTTTACGGTTGGGACTGTTTACAACACGTGCAGGGGACAATATCAATCATAACCCGAGCTCGACGACAGCAAAAGATTCATTCTATGGCACTGTCACATCATTGTTTCAACACCCATCTGTACATAATCCTGGTTTAGAGCAACCACCTATATTTTGCCAAAAAATCTCACTAAATTAATTGACAAACTTCCATGGACACAGACATCTTACCCGTATCAGCTACAATTGGAAAAGCTGGGATTCCAGCCACAACAGCAGATATCAAATCAAATGGATCCTCCTTAAATAGAGGCATTTATAAAGAATTCAAATGGCTGGAAGAATCCAGTGCTGCAGTAAATAACAGGGAAACTTTAAATGATAATAAGCTATTATTTCTTCGGCTGCCGTCCACCCACACCAACCATCTTGTACACCACCAGAATCCATGGCAATTTCAGCACTTCAACCATTATTTTCGGACCAGACCAAATTAGTGTTTATAATTAAGTATGCCATAGACGTGATAAGACTTCAGTAAATCATTTAAACCCTGATCAATTTCCAGTCATCGCTTTAGATCAGCCCCCGTATGCTACTGACAAAAAGATCCAGAAGATAAGTTCGTCATCATGTTTGGTGGTCTTCATGTGGAGCAGGCATTTTTGAAAGTGGATGGACAGTGGCTTCAAGATAGCGGATGGACTGCACCCTTTGTGGATGCGAATTTGGCAACACTAGAAAAAGCAGATTCATTTTTAAAGTTTCAAGCATCACACGCAGACCCAGAGCTCATTAAATTACGGCAAACACATATTATATTTAGCTTCAGAAGGCATCCAATATCAGTGGCGTGCGGTCATGCAAGCGTAGGCAAGCGCCGCTTGCCTAAGCATTTTATCGAACAAAATTTTTTTGGATCAATCTCTGAGCAAAATCAGTTTAAATTTTTCTGTTCTAAACAATGTCAATGTAATCTTTTGTCTAAAGTGTCTTTACAGTTGAAATGCTTGCTATTTATAGGCGATTTACTGTCGTGGTTTTCGGTTTCACTTTGCTACACTTGTAAGATGAGTCAAGTGGATTAAATACACCTTAAAAATTTCTTATTTATTAACCAAGGCAAGCGCGCTTGCCTTCAGAGATCAATTTGAACATTTGCGCATCCGTTAATCTAGATTTGGAGGCTTCTTATTCGAGGAATATCGAGAAAAGGCAAGCGGCGCTTCTAAGGACGCCGCTTGATAGTGATTGGTCAACAGTCTTGTACGCTCGCAATTTTAAACACATATCAGCGCACGAATAATATTCGTATATTCAACACATTGGACATCCGAATTATTCACGCCGTTAATGTTATCGTTTATTAAAAGATGACTGAGAGCGAAAGGTAATGTTATGATTTCTAATTCAAAGTAGTAGGTGCTTTACTGGTTATTTTATTATTTTCTGCGCACAATGTGCGTAAACAAGCAGGGGCCGCAGTCTGCAGAGATATCGAAATGCACGCAAACGTGTGTTGTGGTAACGTATGACTAGCATTATGACCAAAACACTATGCTCTTGTCAGTCTTGTGTCGTTAAATTCGTATTAATTGACTAAAAATAAAAGGTACAAGATACTAAATAATAAACACGACTCTCCGATATTCTGAAACGTACGAGTCAGTGCCAGACACATTTTGAAGAACGGGAGAACACGTTGCCATGACGTCATTATACCAAAATATAAACATTAAACAACGCCATGGCCTCAGTTTGTAACACACCGTGCCAATTTTGTGCGCGAAACTGGCTGTTCTTAATTGTTATAATCACGACTGCTACAATACATTTCGCGCCTATTGTCTTGCAATTTATGTATGTAGAAGATATTATCTGTAGCATGTAATACAAGATTATGATATTGACAAGAGCTTCCTTTTGCATCCGGTAGATATCATGTAACTGATGTAAGGTATAAATAAGATTGATGTTCCTATAAAATATATAGCATAGGAATTTTCATCCTTTTATGTTCTACTTCTACATTCGGTATTTTCACGACACCTGTACAACATGACTGAATGCATTGTGGAATCACTGTTATCCCGCTCATTTGGATTGAGACCTTTTTCCGAGAAACGAGAGATCGTCGAAGGTGGCCGTCCCACTCCTGAGTTGCAAGGACTACATACAACATCCAAGCGAAGTGGTAAAGTCTTTATTCGAAGTTTTCAGACGTCAAATTACGACAAGTACAAATGGCTGGCTGGCTCCTCAAAATTGAATAAGTTATTTTGCTGGCCGTGTCTTTTGTTCAACTCAACAGACAAGACAGTCTGGTGCAAGAAGGGATACGATGATTTGGCCAACCTGTGTAATGCCGTCAACAGACACGAGAAAACGAAGACACACTTGTCCAGTTGCCTAATGAATGCCAGTTTTGGGCGTACACGCATCGACATGCAGCTAGACGAACAGGCCCGTCAACACATCTCAGCTGACAACTTGATGGTGCACAAGAATAGAGAAGTACTTCGCCGTTTCATTGATGTTGTTTGCTTTCTTGGCAAACAGGAACTTTCTTTCAGAGGTCGGGTGGAGCTGGAGGAGTCTGCCAACAGGGGCAATTACGTCGAATTGATAAAACTGCTAAGTGCATATGACCCCACGCTTGAACAGCATCTTCATACAGCAACCGTGTTTTCTGGACTTTCTAATCGTATCCAGAACGATTTGATTGTTGCTGTCAAGGACGTTATGTTGAAAGCAATAAAAGATGAAGTGATGAGGAGCCCATTTGTCGCTATTTCCCTGGATGAAACCCCGACGTTAAGACCTTATCGCAGCTAACAACTATAGTTCGCTATGTCAACCCAGATGGTAAAGCTGTGGAGCGCTTTCTTGGATTTACCGATGTAAGTGAGGATAGAACTGCGGCTAGACTGAAACAAGAAGTCGGTAAAACCCTGAACGAGTACGGATGCGGCGAAAACTGATTGCCCAAACGTATGACGGTGCGAGTGTGATGTCAGGAGAACTGTCCGGTTTGCAAACACGAGTAAGAGAAGACTATCCACATGCTCTTTTTATCCACTGTTGCGGACACGCATTAAATTTGGTCCTTGTTCAAGCTGTCTCGTCAACTAAAGAGTGTCGTATATTTTTTAAAACCGTCACTGGTCTTTCATCCTTTTTTCACGCCTCGTCCAAGAGAACATACCTGTTGGAAAAAGTTGTCGGCAGACGCATTCCCACTGGAACAGCTGTTCGATGGCACTATCAGAGCAGGTTAATCCATGCTGTACTGGAGACAAGAGCAAAGCTGCTCGAAGTTTTCGAATACATCATCGAAAATGATGACGAGTTTGACGGTACGACGTTAAACGAAGCGAGGGGCTACCGACAAGTTCTTGCAGATTTCCAGTTTGTGTTCTGCCTTAAAATATTTTCAGAAATATTTGGTCTTACGGATGTTTTGTATAATATCATTCAGAGTAAGCAGTTCGATATTGTCTTCTATGTCACGAAAGTTCGCGAGACGAAAGATAAGATTCAAGAACAACGAACAAAATTCGTAGATTATTGGAATTTTACGTCAAGTATCGTCAAAGTAGCACTGAAACGCGGGCAAAGTGAAGAGGATGTAAAGGCGTCCTTCCGTCAAATGTTTTTCTGTGTAGTCGATACCATTGTCGTGCAGATTGACTCTAGATTCGAAAGTCTTAACAGCAGAGCATTCGTTTCTTCGTTGGATCATTCAAAGCACGAATTGTACAGCCGGAATTTTCCCGAACGAGAGCTGCAATCGTTGCAAGATTCATATGGAACATTCTTTAATCTTCAAGCACTAAAAAGTGAACTAATCGTTCTATACGCATCTGCCGAGCTCAAATCGAAACCTGTTTTTGATATGATATCAAAAATAATCGAACTTGACTTGAAAGCCTGTTTTCCAGAGGTGTACCGATTGTGTCAGCTCATTCTTACTATGCCAAGTACGTCCTCCTCTGCAGAAAGATCATTTTCGGCTCTCAAGCGTATCAAAACGTATCTTCGCAGTACACAAGGGCAAGAGCGACTTTCTGCATTGGCTACAATTTCAATCGAAGAGATGTTGGTAAGTTTGCAGGGGAAGCCACGATTTTATGAGGACGTTATAAAGGAGTTTTGCGCAAAGGAAAGACGGATGGAATTTACATTTAAGTAAATCTGTTGTAGGATTTTGGACTATTTCGTTCTGTTACTTCTTCACTACAATAGAAATTCACGCGTAGCCATTTACTTAAAACGACTTTATATCACAATACCACATGTAATACTTTTAAACAGTAATTGTGATATATACTCTATAAAAGTTTTTGAATTTTTTAGATTTTTTCAATACTGTTTCAGTCATGACAGATATATTTTTTTCGACAAAGTACTCCCAGAAATCGCGGGAAATGCGCTGCAGTAGCCTTCAAAATCCAAAAATTTTCTGGGGGAGCATGCCCCCAGACCCCTAGATAGGTTCGCGGCTTGCCTCACCCACAGCGCTTGCCTACTAAATTCGGTCACCGCACGCCACTGTCCAATATGTATGTGGATGAGATGACTGAAGACGTTCTCTCCTTTGATGCATGATGAAAAAGCAAGACATCTGAAATACCGCAGTTTCAGTACTAGTACACTGCCCTGCAATTAGAGCACATTCTGTTTGTCTTTCTCAAATCCTTTGCTGACTTTGAAATGTATGTGGATGCAGTGTTCAAAATGCTTCCGTGAATCTTTGCTCCAAACCATCCAAACTATGCCTGTTGGCTTTTATACATGTTCGCATCATGTGTGTAGTAGAAGCATTTAAACAAGGCCTCTTTTTGGTAAACAAGACACCTCAAAGATTTTCTGCAATTGCTATTAACCATGCACATGAGAAGAACAATGCTACGGTCAAAGGCAAAGGAGGAGCTGTGAGCTTAACAAAAATCCAGATGCTCTTCGCTGATGGATGCTCTTTGGTCCAGAAATGGCACGAATAGTCCACGAGGTCAACACTTGTGTGAATTTTAGAGCTTGCAATGAAGATGGTCACCACCAACAAACAAAGAATTAAAAATTGAATTTCACTAAGATGTCAAATCTCTTGTGCAGGTTTTTGAAAGTTTGGCAATCCGTTTGATGACAAAAGCGTAAACCTTATCGTATTGGATTCTAAAGTTGTTGCAAAAAAGGAAGGAGTATTGAGAATGCAAAAACTATAAGAGCTTGATAGCATTTCGACACATTCGTTCAAGAGCGCTTAATAGAAAGGAGATTGCAACTTGATGAACGTATTACCAATCTCGACTTCTTAATCACATAAAAAAAAAGAAATCTAAGATGAATCAAAAGCTCTCCTCCATGAAAAGTGATTGTTCTCTCTTCTCCCAACTTTTCATAACCTGCCAAACAAGAAATGGAGACCTGGACGAGTTTTTTAGGCATGAGAATCAAATCTGTCCACTCGCCTGTCTGACAAAGAAAGCTTACGTTTGCCACGACAAAAGTCTGAGCTAGCAAATTGTCTACAGGCTCTCAAAACCCCCAAAAGAATATTCCTCCAGCCAATAATGAAGTCAAAATTTTGAACGTAGTCAAATTTTTGAAGCCGAAAGTAAAGGAAGGAACACTCTTAGATTACGCCACATCTACATTTGTCAATAATGTCAGGGGCGGATCTAGGATATGTCAAACCAGTCACGCAACTGATGTTTATAGTTCAAAAATTATTTATCAAATCTAACGATTACAATTTTTGTGATCATTAATTTTCGTTCTGTAATCGTTCGAATTTCATCGTCAAAATTCTGTTTTATGTATGAAAACTTATACAAATACCACCTTAGTAGATAAAAACATAAACGTAGATAAAAACATATCAAGAATTATATTAACTGGCTGACTAATAATCGGGGTGGCTCGACTGGTTCGACCGAAACGGAGTTCAAGAGCGCTTATTTAAGCCATTCCGTTGGTCAATAGCCAGATCAGTGGACGATGTGGAATAATCTCGACCAATATTCGGGGTGGCCGGACCGATAAGGGAGTCCAATTGCTATTGTGTAATTGGTTTGTTTAAAATTTTTGTCTTAGTGTGATTGGTTTGACCGATTTCGACTGATAGCCAACTGAACTAACATAGTCAAGCTCACTGTCTGAATTGAATGTTTGATCATTTCATCGAAATTTTTAAAAGCATGGAAGAAACTAGACTACAATCAGATGGAATTTGTGGAAATCTTTTACAAATTCATATTGACATGAATGCTGCTGTCCAAACTCTAAATTTTTTCAAGAGGGTGAAAAATTTATGGATGAATTGTCAATGTTTGGCAAAGACGATCTCGCGAGCCACATTTCAGTCATTGATGTTCAAAAGCAAGCCAACATTGCTTTGAGTTTTCTCGGCAGAAATTTACATTCAAAATGGTAAGAAAAGGACAAATGAAGTGTATGCATGAATGTAAATTATCAAAGTCAATTTATGCGAGTATGTGATACGATTTATGTCAATATGGCATATTAAAGTAAATGGTTTGAACCTGGGAGTATCGTTACATGTTTGTAAATGTAGATCGTCCAGTTGGTATAGTCCTGAGAAGGACTGTTTATGTTGTTGTTGACTGACGTTTCGACAACCTTAGCGGTAGTCATCTTCAGAGCCAAATGAGGAGTAAACGTCAGATTAGCCGTATTTGTTATCTGGTTCTTACGTCATTGTATTGTGTGCACAGGAAATGTGTGGGTGTCAATTGTGTATGGTCATTGTGAATTAGTGTGAAGTGAAATCTTTATAGTTGTGATGTGTGATTTAGGTGTGATGTTTTTAGTTGTAATGTGTGGGTGTCAATTGTGTATTGTCATTGTGAATTAGCGTGAAGTGTAATGTTTGTAGTTGATCGGTTGTTTGTATTGTGAATAAGTCGTTTGTAAGGTGCCGGTAGTTGCTGTGATCTGTTCAGGGGGTTTGTTCTAAGTTAGAACAAGACGCATACGCCAACAACTCCGGTTTAACCACCGCTGCAAGTCCAAGGCTATTCAGATTGTCAAATCCACCAGTAGACGACTGATACGAGCACGGATTAACGACTGTCACAAACGAATCAACTATTACATCAAGCAACAAGAAAAAAGACTGAACAAACTGAAGGAAGTCATACCAACGACAGTAAGTGAGACTTTACTTTCTACGATAAAACTATTGCAGAGAAACGAGCAAACAAGACAGAGACACAACACCAAATCAAACAACAACAAAAACTTGAACGTTTAAAACGCACTAAAACACGTACAAGGCATAAACATGACGATAATTGGGTGAGGAATATTTCTTCCCGCACATTAAACCAAACTGAAACACAACTACTATCTTACGGACCAAAACATTCCATAACACCTAGACGAATCTCGACTGAGACGATGGTATCAAGTGTCGAGGCTGTCCTAGCGTATCAAAGAGACTTGTCAGAGATAACCAAAGACGAGATCAGAAGCAGGATAGCCTCCACTTTAAAATCGTCCTCTCTACGTGACAAAAACTTGACAAAGGACGAACAACAAGCACTCAAACGACTAAAACACGACAACAACATCGTTATTTTACCAGCAGACAAAGGACGTGTGACTGTGGTCATGGACAGGAATGATTACTTCAACAAAATGGACACCCTTGTTAACGACAGACAAATGTACGAACAACTCAAACGAGACCCAACACCATCACTAGTACGCAAACTTAACAGCAAGATCTTCTCTATGAGAAAATCTATCATTATATTTGAACGTATTTACCGTAGACTCAGATGTTCAGTTCCACGACCACCCAGACTATACGGACTACCAAAACTTCACAAACCACAAATACCCATGCGACCAATTGTATCATTCTGTGGTTCGCCTACATACAAACTTTCAAAGTACTTGACTGACATACTGCAACCACTTACAAACAAATCAAAACACAAGCTACAATCCACTGAAACTTTCATTAAAAAACTTTGCACTATACAAATACAGGACAACTATATACTAGTGTCTTTTGATGTGAAATCACTACTAAGAAACAAGACAAACTTATCACATTGCCGAACATCACCGAATCACAAAGCACAACATTGACTGGGACTCGGCAAAATGCATTACTTACAGTACTGACTATATACAACGGCTTACACTAGAAAGTTGGTATACCAGCTCAGAACAAACCCCCTGAACAGATCACAGCAACTACCGGCACCTTACAAACGACTTATTCACAATACAAACAAACGATCAACTAAAAACATTACACTTCACGCTAATTCACAATGACAATACACATTCCCTGTACACACAATACAATGACGTAAGAACCAGATAACAAATACGGCTAACCTGACGTTTACTCCTCATTTGACTCTGAAGATGACTACCACTAAGGTTGTCGAAACGTCAGTCAACAACAACAAAAACAGTCCTTTTCAGGACTATACCAACCTGGACGATCTACATTTACAAACATGTAACGATACTCCCGGGTTCAAACCATTTACTTTATAATAAATACTATAAAGTATTTAGGGGGCGGTACTCGTTTGTACGTCACAGCGAACAAACATGGCGGGAAAAAAGTTCGCACGAAATGACAAAGTTTGGAAATAAATTTAGTTATTTGTGCAATTTTCTGCAAGCTGACCGTGGCAAATTGAAGTTGTGGTCGCAGCTTCGAATATACGAACGTTTTCCGAACAAATTTGGTAAAATTTGGCATGCTTTCTGCAGTTTAACAGCTCATCGTTTAACTGGATAGTTTTATTAATAGGCAAGAGGTTTATTTCGAAGTTTTTGTGCTTTTTTCAAAAATTATATCAAAAAGACAGTAAATTATGAAAAATTTAAATCTAATTGATTAATTAAAGACATATTTTTGAGCAATTTTGCTGTATTTCATATAAATACAACAAAATTTCTAATCTTCTTGATAAAATGTAATCTCAAAAGTTCCGGTCTGAATCCGCGCCTGGGTGACTGCTTTATAATAGCCTATCCATATTAATTTTTAAGTTTAAATACTTAGTTTCTATTCTGAAGTAAATAAATGCAACGATAATGGTTCAATAAATGAAATTATCAACTAGTTTGAAAACTTTGATTACATCGACGCAGTCTTTTTTAACTGCAAAAATATCTTTAACGTACTGTCCCTGCAATGAAATGAATTTTTGTGAAGTTCTTTTCAAAGTGGTTTTCAACAGTAGGATTCACTAAAATAGTAATGATCAGCGCTTTTTCGAGTCTTTTGAGACCTTGGAGTCTTTAGATTCTTTCAAGTCTTTTTCGCCAATTTCAAGGGTCATGACCTGAAATAAGAACAGTATTGTAAATTTTTCGCTTATACAAGATACATCAAAAATGTTAGAAAATTTAATAACGTTTGGAAAACTATTATTGTATGAAAATTTCTAAAAAATATATCTAGCTCTATATCTAGCTCTAATTAGATTTCGGCATTTCCGGTTATTGTAAGAATAAAAACCACTGATCAGAAAAATGAATGTCGAAAAGCGGGAGGGCAGTTATTAAAAGCCTCAATTTTAACAGTTTGCACAAAAGAAAATCAGGCCTTCAATACTTTAATTCAAAAAAGGAGGTTAAATTTTAAACTGTGTTGTGCATTGTATCAAAATTATACAAACTTAGCGGTAGTCATCTTCAGAGTTTTTTTTTACTCTGAAGATGACTACCGCTAAGGTTGTCGAAACGTCAGTCAAGAACAACAAAACAGTCCTTCTCAGGGCTATACCAAATTGGACGATCTACATTTACAAACATGTAACGATAATCCGGGTTCAAACCATTTATAAAAATATACAAAATTTGACAGACATTGAGTTCATCCCGCAACCAGTCCATCTTGGACGTTACACACGTTACACGGTGTGCTTAATGTTTATTGAATTTTCTAAAATTTTTATACAATGCACAGCAGAGTTCAACGTTTCACCTCATCTATTTAATTAGATTTCAAACTTTTTATTTCCTTTTGCAAACAGTTAAACTTGAGCTTTTACGAATTCCTCTCCAACTTTCGAGATTAATTTTTCTGATTGTTTTTCATTTTAGATCAAACGATGCTGAAATACACAGACTTTGACACATTTATGTGAAATTTTGATGAAATGTTAGTTTTCCTACAATTTAACATTTTCCAACTTTTTTATACACCCTGTATGGTTGCATAAGTCCACCTTAAAAAGAGACCTAATAATTAAAATATTCAAGAGTAGAGCAGAAAAATTCATCAAATCCATTAATTAAAAATGTTTAATCAAATCAAACTAATTCAAACCATTAAAACTATTACCGATTCATTATATTAGTACAACGCATGCCAATTTAGTTCAAACAAAATGAAAAAAGAAGTAATTTGTTTTGAAATAGTAATGGTTGACAATTCTGGCTTTTTAAATTACATGTTCTGGTAGCTACTGGCAAAGGTTGATTCATCACAAACCAGAAACGTCTAATTTCTGCAATATTAACATCCCCACACGAAATAAAGACTTCCAATGAATGTATAGTTTGTATCTGACATGTTTTACACACTGCTCTAAGATTACAGTAATGCTCACCAATTTTTCCAAGGATTCCACTTGCTTCTTCAGTTTGGTGTTAGCTTCTTCCATTGTACTCAGGTTCTTTGAGCATTCATCTTTGATTTCTTTATAATATCTTTCCGTTTTACTTTCCATTATATTAATTAATTCTTGCCTCGCTAAAGCGGTTTTAGCATCGGAATCTTTCTTATATGCCAAACATTGCTCTTCAAACTGAAGCACGGCAGCTTCTTCAATTTTCTTGATTTCCTTTATTTTGTCACGGCAAAACTGCTCCACTTGCTCTTTTGCAAACTGAAAATTTTTGACGTTTTCTTTCCGAAGTGCTTCTGAGAACTCTTCACTTTTTTTAGAGAGTTCGTCTACTTGTTTCTTTTTTTCTTTTTCAAGGCGTTTTTCTGTCGCAGCATAATGAGCATTCAAGTTTTGCTGAGCTAAATCATTTGATGAAAATAAAGTGAAGGCAAGCGTTAATTACTTCATTGATTGAAGCATTTTCCTTATATACTTTTAGGAAGTCTATAAGAGAAACTGCAAAGGAGCATACCAGCAAAATGATTTTATATCGATAAGGGACGTTCAAAAAACAGCTAACAACTCAGGAGTGTGCCCAAAAAGAGTGGAAGTAAAATCATCAGAATACGACATAAACTGATGATAAAGTAAATGGTTTGAACCCGGGAGTATCGTTACATGTTTGTAGATGTAGATCATCTAGGTTAGTACAGCCCTGACAAGGACAGTTTTTGTTGTTTTTGTCTGTTGTTGTTGACTGACGGAAGTGTAATATTTTTAGTTGATTGTTTGTTTGTATTATGAATAAGTCGTTTGTAAGATGCCGGTAATTGCTTTTATCTGTTCAGGGGGGTTTGTTCCAAGTTGGTATAACAACTTTCTAATGTAAGTCTATAGTCACAGTGCTGTAAGTAATGCAATTTGCCGAGTCCCAGTCAATGTTGTGCTTTGTGAGTCGGTGATGTTCTGCAATGTGATAAGTTTGTCTTGTTTCTTAGTAGCTCGTTTGTGTTCAGTAAGTCGTATGTTTAGGTTCCTGCCAGTTTCTCCGATATAAGAAGCGTGGCAGTCGGAGCAGTTTAGTTTAAACTGCAACTTGTCGTTCATTGGGTTGTTCTTTGTCCTTTATGTTCGTTAGTACTTGTCGTAACGTTGTGATTGGTTTATGTGCGACACGTATGTTGTATGGTTGTCAGATACGTGAGATAGTCTCAGACGTACCTTTGATGTAAGGTATCGTTGCTGTTGTCACTGAGTTGTTCGTTTCGTTGTTTTCGTTGTGTAGAGCGTCTCGTGAATCACATATGATTTGTCCATCGAACAACAAGGTACAGTTTACAAAATAAACTGCTCCAACTGCCCCCCCCCCCTCCTATATAGGGGGAAACTGGCAGGAGCTTAAACATAACACTTAGTGAACACAAACGAGCTACAAAGAAACAAAACACAACTAATCACATTGCCGAACATCACCGACTGACATACCAACTGCTATGGTATACCAACTTCGAACGAATCCCCTTGAACAGATCACAGCAATTACCGGCACCTTACAATCAACTTATTCACAATACAAACAAACTATCAACTACAAACATTACACTTCACACTAATTCACAATGACAATACACATTGACACCCGCACATTTCCTGTACACACAATACAATGACGTAATAACCAGATAATAAATACGGCTAACCTGTAGTTTACTCCTCATTTGACTCCAAAGATGACTACCGCTAAGATTGTCGAAACGTCAGTCAACAACAACAACAGTCCTTTTCAGGACAATAATAACCTGGACGATCTACATCGACAAACATATAATAACATGGCCTGTCGGTGTGTGAGGAATAACATGCCCATGTCGTATGTTTGCACAAGAATTGGCGTCAATCCTTTGTTAATTGTAAGAATGTCACCTTTGAAAGAATTCAGCCTGGCATAGCACAAAATATTTAATTGGTCCCCCCTCAATTAACGTAGGATTGACGTCACTGGAGAGAAGAAGGTTGGGTACTTTCCTTCTGTAAAATGCAATCAAACCTTGTGTTCAGCTCTGCTTTGATATTGAATAGCTCATGCATGTGCAAATAAAAATAAATTTAACACATACAAGTTTGAAACGCAGCATCCAGCTCTTCTTCCTTTTTCTTGAATCTTTTTTGCATGGAATCAAATTCTTTTCTCATATCTGCTTGCATTTTCTTGATGACTGACTGAAAGTGATCATCCATTTTTTGTTTCAACTCATTAAACTTCGTCAATAGTTGGCTTTGATATTTGGCAAAATTATTTTCATGCAGTTTCGTTTTTTCTTCAGCTACTTCTTCAATCTTAATAATCTGATCACGCAACTCTGTTTCCAGAAAATTCTGTCTTTCTTCAAGCTAAAAAATGTAAATATACGTTTTTGACTCAAAAAACAAATACTAAAAGTTGTAAATATCTGAACACACATTACTTGTAAACTTTTTTCTTAATTCCCGTCCATTTCTCATTTATTTAGGTTAAAATCCTGTTGGATTCATGATTCATGTAAAATTAACAATTTCAATATGGAAAATTACTAAAAATATCCCAAGCTAAAACGAAGCTACTACAAAAATTATTTGTTCCAAAAGTCGTTTTTTGAACATTTCGCTTCTTATTTTACCTGGCTTCACTTTATAGACAGTAAAATAGAGAATTTGCTGGGTAACAAATTTAAAAATTGTTTTAAAAAAAGCAAATGCCGTGTTGAATGGTCAAAATGATTCCCAGGGATTGGAAAACAAATTTTGAGTAACGCTCACTGTACTAAATCCTATTCCGACCATAATTTAGAGTTATTGAAAATTGTCGCTCGCTATTTCAGTTACGCGTCATGGAGTCTGTACAAATTAAGTTGACTAATCCTGTCTTTCCTCGACAACAGGATTACGTGTTTAATTTGTCTTTGTTTTATGCGTCATCCCCCAATTTATAGAGATGATGTTAAATTTTCTGGCCATTATGAATATTGCATGATTTTGAAGTTCTCATTTAGTAGACGTTGAAACCTGATAAGTAGTCTGCCGAAATGGAAAGTTTATTTCAGCTTCAAAAACAGTTCTTTTACAACTAATGGGTTAGTGTTCTGGTTTTAAACAGCTCTTTTAAGAACTATTGCGTTATTATTTTGAACTTTTTGGACAGTTATAAAATCGTAACTGCATTTCCAACACACACTTTCTTTTTAACAATCTTAGATGTTTCCAATACTTTCCACTCTCTTTAAACTTGAAGAGACTTTACTTGTACATAAGGACTCGTAGCTAATACTTTTTTTAGCAAATAGATTGTGCACTTTATACCATTTGCAAGTAATAAATATTTTCGTTATAACTCATGTCATGTAAATGTAAAGTAAAGTCAATCACAGTTTGTCTTGTATTATGAAATCACCAGTATGATCTCACACTATTATTGATACAATAACGATAAGAATTCCAAGAAGACAGATGCACGGAATGACGTCAGAGATAATTTTTTAATTTATCCCTGATTTACAAAACCCTGTTTAAGCAACTCACGTACTTAATATTTGGTCTTCGATATTTCTTATATAGAAAAATTAACCAGTCATCGCTAGTTTATTCTGTAAGTAAATCACATTCTAGCTCATGTATGAATCAAATTTTTTCAATAAATATTGCAGTAAATCAACAAAGCAAACACAAATACTCAATGCAAAAAAACAAAAGAAATATTAAAATAATTTTGCGACAGAAAACGTTTAAATGTAATCTATTTGTTATTTACAGTAGAACCTTCCTCTGCGGTCACTCTTGGGAAGGTGCCCTATTATGAGCTGTGTTAAGAGATAGTATGTCAACTGCAAGGACTCAAAAGTTTGTGCTTACGGTGGGTGTTTGCTTTTGAGAAGTGCCCGTAAGTAGATGTTCAACTGTATTCAATAATTAACAATATAAATAAGGAGTGGACAGCCAGGTTTATCCAAATAGGGCAATTAAGTCAAGCAACTCACGTCCATCTTTTAAAGACAAACAACATGTTGAAATCATTACGATGGATTAAGTCTTATGAAACAAATGATACACATATAAGTTGTAACTGTTATCATTCAAGAGTGGCATGACATTATTTATATGTTTAAAGGCTATGCATATTTATAACAGCAGTAAAACGCACCAATCTCAGATTCAATGGCTTGTTCTGTTTATTTGAAGAGAGAAAAGACTGTTGTGACTGCTTATGTGGGTGGCCACATTGATGTGGCCTAATCGGTCAATTTTATCTTTTGTAAATGATCAAAAGGTCGATACCCTGGTTTTAAAAAGGGTTGCTTGTTATAAGTAAAGTGAGCCTAAGTTAATAAATCATTTTTAGCTTTGACTTATTTTGCTGCTTTTCACTCAAGTAAGACTATTATGCTTAAATCTAAGCATAAAAAAATCTGGATCTAATCGAGTACTATCCCTTACCTATAACAGTGCAATGAAGTACATATTCATAAAAATATCTTTGTCATATGCAAGTAACTCACTTCATCTGTTTTGCGAATTGTTTCTTCCTGAACTTCTCGAATATCTTCTTTCCAAGCATTTTCCATGCTAGATCGGTCAAGTTTTTCCTCTTCTAAAATCTTTTGAATGCGTTCATCGATCTTTCCAGGAGCAATTACAAAATTCCCTTTTGTCCCTCCGGTACCAGAAACACTGATAACATCTTCACCAACAAACAAATCATCTATAAAGAGTGCATCTAAATAATAAATTCATTATAATAATCCACAAAAGGAAAACATTTATTAAATGACAATTCAAGCGACGTCGTAAAAATATAAAATGTTGTATAAGTTAACCATTACCCACCCATAAAAATCATTTGCTTGTAGAAATCGAAATCGAGGGAAACAGTGTATATATGTTTCGTTCAACTAGGACTACCGGTCAAGGGTCAACAAAACACACAGTTTTCCCATATTTCAGTCAATAAGTGTGTTATCATGTACCAAATTTTGCATGACTGATCACTAACAATCTGCTTTTTGTAGATATCAATGTAACATAATTTGCAAAACTTAGCTACTAAGCAACAACTTAATGGTTTCTATATTTGGATTGCCTGATACAAACACGCAAGAATTAAGTGAGAGTTAAGAACAGTGCGAAAAACACGAGCCGAAGGAGAGTATTTTGCACCGCTTTCCAAACTCAAGCAACACTCTCAAGTGCAGGGACGCCGGAACTGGGGGAAAGGGGGGCAAAGGCCAATTTTTACATGTAAACAACTAAAAATCACACTACCTTAGCAAATTCCTTTCATTATTATTAAATCCAAAAAGGTGCCAGTAACATGAGGTATACCAAAGATATTTTTAATGGTAAACATCTACTGGCATAAATGTCTCAGTCAACTAAACATTGATGACTTTGAAAGGAATATTTTTTGCATCTTATCGCTTTTTCTGCAATGTCAGGAGCAGAAAGATGTAAGCATTAGCAAAAGCAGCTGCTAAGCCGGTTCAATGAAAAATAACATCGCTGTTTGCAAAAGGAAACACAAGCTATGATTTTGATTCTGCTTTAACAAGCGGAATTGACACTTTAATAACTGTCAATACTGAAAAAGCCTCAGACTGTGAATCGTCCATACCAAAAAGTCTGATTGGTGAAACAGAAAAGATATGCATGAAAACGACATGGGTAAAACATGAGAAAGAATTTACAAGTGAAGACAAGGAAAGTAGTGTGAAGCATGGTCGATATTTCCAAGGTCAATGGTTACGAAATTATGAGTGGTTAGGGTACAATCGAGAAAAAAAATAAGGCTTTTCGTGAAATTTGTTCTACTCACTCTAAGATAAAGGGAGTGTTTGGCAGTTATGAAGTTGGATTTGATAACTGGAAAAAAGGCTGTGAGAAATTCAACGAACATGAAAACAGTTATGCTCATAAAGAAGCTTGTGCCACATTAGACAAAGGGCAATTGTCTCTTAGCACTGCCTGCAGTTCGCTTGCTCTTGAAGCACAGCAGTTAAGGCAGAAAGAGTTAATTTCACATCTTCAAACATTAAAAACACTCTTACGCCAAGGTATAGCGATTAGAGGCAGAACGGATTCTGAATCTAATATTCATCAGTTCAATCTTGATAAAGCGATTAACGACAAGGCACTAAAACTTTTACTTGACGAGAACCGATAAGTAACTGCACACGACATCCTGGACGAGCAGAAACAGATTATTGTATTAAATGCTCGAAGACATTTCATTGATAAAATTCTAGTGAGAGAATCATTTTCAATTCTAGCTGACAAATCATCAGACGTATCTAAGAAGGAACAGTTGTCTTTTTCCGTAAGGACCTGTGATGATAATTACGAAGTATCGGAAGATTTTATTGGAATTTATGAATGTTTGCAAGGAATTTCATCTAATGCATTGCTGTACTACACCAAAGACAATCTTCTCAGATGTGGCATGGAAGGTTACAAAATGGCACCCAAGGGCTTTGATGGGGCTTCAGCAATGAAATCCCTCGCAAGAAAGCTCAAGGAAGATATTGCACCAAACGCAATTTATGTTCATTGTTTCAGTCACTGCAATGAACTTATTATACAGGATGCAGCTAAGCAATCTAATTTGTTGTCTACATCACTGGATTTATGCCAATCCCTGTATGCAATCGTAGGTGTCTTCATCGTCATCTTCAATTTAAACGCGACAAGAAAGCTATTGGCTTTACTCGAGAAGCTTTATAAAGAGCTCCAAGCCGTTGGTATTTCAGCTGAGTATGCTCTATGTTCAATATTTTCAATAAGACATGTCCTGCAACGTCTTCATGAGATGAGAAGGAAAGAAGAGTTCGAGCGTACACTTGATGACGCCAAGAAAGTTTTTCGTGTTATGATGTAGTTTCCACTGGAATCAGGTGAAAAATTTGTCACTGGCAGTACACTAAGAAAAGTTCCAAGATGGATGAATAATGAAGAAATATTGATAACAGAAAACAGTCTTGGGCTTTACAACGTGGATAAGAAGAAAAAATAACAGAAGTCACGCGTATTTCAACAATAGCAGAGTATTCAATGCCATGCCGTCAGCAAAGAAAAGGTGCTCAGAGATCCACAATCTAATTATACTATACTACACATTGCCACTCTCATCTGCCTCGTGCGAACGCACATTCAGCGTAATGCGTCGTCTCAAAACATGGCTGCGGTCAAACAGTGAAGGAAATCATCTGAATGATATTATGTTCGCCAACATTCAGAAGCAACACATGGATATGGTGGAAATAGACGTAATTGCCAAAGAGTTTTCACAGAGAAATGAAAGAAGAATTAGATACTTTGGAAAATACAATACATGAGTGATGACAAATTGTAAATTAGTGACGTTACATCGTTTGCTAGCTATACTATCGTTAATATTAGTCGACCAACACTGCGGACATGTGCTTCTGTACAGTGTATTGCATGTAGCACATCTCTTTGCTGTTTATAACTATTAGATTGTTTTTAGTAAATTTCACTAATGTGCCCTTCCACAAAGGCTTTCCTTTTTGCCGTTCCGGCGTCCCTGTCTAAAAGTTTAGAAAAGTCACAAATGTTACTTTAAGTTCACATTTTTTACTCAGCCAGAAATGCACTGCAGCAAAAAACATAGGCTTGAAAGTCGTCTTTATGTTTGAAATTTTTACGACAGCATATTAAATTACCGTGTTTGGACAGGCCTGATCCGAAAACGGGCATCGACCAATCACATCACGCGTTTTTCATGTGTTATTTTATAAAATTCACTCCAAAACAATAGTGAGCAAAGCCAAATTTTGTGCTTGCAATCATTAAACGTGCAATTTTAACATGCTTGCACGTTTGCGGCACTTAAGCTTATTATGCGTAATAAAAGCATAATTGCAATGAATCTAAGCGCATGACACATGTCAAAATTTGTACAATGAATCTAATGATTTATTTGAATAATGTTAAAAGTCCTTTTGTGTACAAAAGGAAAAATCAATAAAATCCAAACTGTTAGAGTAAATGCTGACACCGGAGAATATAGCAATGATTGTGTCAATCGAACGTATGCTGGACAAGCAACAGTTAAAGACAAGACAGGTAGAATCATTGTGATAACGACTGTAATCTTGGTTGTTGCGAAATAATTTTCGTTACTGAGATACTTCTTGGCTAGTGAAGTGAATAGGCTAGCTTGTGTCATTAGGTTTTAAAGATTAATCAAATTTTTTCCATTTACTTTCATATTCACCTACCTAGCTTTATTGATAATTTTTGTTGAATTTGATATTAACGCCAAAATGAACATAGTAAAATTAATAATCGTTTAATCAATAAAGAGCATGCTGTAGTTCAATTTGCTAAAGCTTTTTAAATACTGAAGTACATTTTTTTGCAAATTTTTGAAGTGTAATGAGGTAATTTGTAGAATTATAATTGCTAAAAAAATTTACTGTAGTTGTTAAAAAAGTTAAGCTTACTGTCCAATAAGATTGATGTTTACCTATCGTGCTTTTTACTAGTATCATTAACTGCATAATTTTGTTGAAGCTCATAGTTGCCTTCTGATTTGAAGTGTCACAATTGTAGGAAACTACATAAACTTCAAAAAATTTTGGAGCATTTTACAAAATCAAACAAAGCTACGTTGCATGACATACCCTGTGGTGCAGTCATTTTCACATCCAAACGCGCAAAACCAAGCTCCGTAGCTGCCATTTCAGTTCCATAGCAAAATTTATAAATTTTCGGATCACAATGATTTGCCTTATAAATGTTACCATCACGGTCAATGATACCAGTCTTGTGAAAAATATCGCAGAGCATCCATGTCTTTTGGCTATCTGTCTGAAATTCTTCGTCTAATTCCACCTAAAAAAAATTTAAAGCTTAGAGATCATAGTGAAAGCAAGTGGGGATATAGTAACAGGTTCTATTAAGTGGAAAGCATTGAAAAATTAGGGAATAGGCGATTCCCATAACAAGTAAAAAAAGTAACCACGCGTCAAATTTAGCTGCATTTTATTGGCAACTTGGAATGTTTCAAACGTCGAAGTTTACATGCATCAAACGCATTAAAGACAAAAGAAAATGAGAGGAGTGTCCTCATTACCTTTTGTTTTAAATACGCTTGGCTCATGTAAAGTTAACATGCCTAAGTTTCAGTACGTACAAAACTTGCAATTTTGTGCAAAAATTCACAAAAAAATCCCCGAACAACACATGTTGGAAATGTAAATTTTCTAATTGATGTGAGATATACTTTAAAAAACGTTGCTTTGAAACAGTAAAACGTGATTTGTTGCAAATAGCAAATACGCCTAATAGGGGAGTTACGACCCATTGCGTTAGTAAGATATGCATGTGTTGAAATGTGTGGTGATCGATAAGCTCTCATGGTCAACAGGTTGCAACATTTGGCTATTTCTTTATAAATGACATTGTAGATCATCAGTCATTATTCAGTTCTTAAGAAATCCATTGTTTTTACAGTGAGTTAACACAGAAAAATTTACATTGCGTAACGAAATTTGCAGGCTGGCTACTCCAATGACTGCAAGATAACACGTATCCATAAGTAACATTTATATCAACCGACAACGTTCACTAACTTCAAATCCCGTAACTTGGAGCGCACGAAAAAAGCAAGTGCGTTTTTAAATTAACTCTTCTTTCCTATAGCCATAGATCTTAGAAATTTAATAGAAATGATATAGAAATTTGGATTAATATGAAACGATTAATATGAATCTATGAATCAATAGTAGTACATGAGCAGGATGTAACCCCAAAAATAATTGCCAACAGACTACCTTGATATGATAGTCCAAATTCATTGATTCCAAAATATTTAGTCGAGCTTATATGTTACAAAAAGTATTGACTTGTAAACAGTTCCGCAATCGTAATAAGAGAAATGTTTTTTTTACAAATTTCACCGGATTTTTTTGTGTAGATTTTGTTGATAACGAGAAATCACTACAAAATATGTTACCTTGATAAAATTCGGTGGCACTTTGCTCCCAAAGTAACCACTCTTTTTCCAAATGGTCTCACAAAACTCCGTGGCACGTTTTTGCAGCTTAGAAATTGTACCATTCTTCGGTTTCTGCGTAACCACACACCATGCTAACTTTTCACCAAGAGTAGAAAACTGAGATACTTTACTTTCCGCTAGAAAAATTGAGATGTTAGTCTGTCATACAATGCAAGAGATGCGACCAACTTAAAGAAGATTAATTAAAGACAAGTGAACTCTCATACATATATACTAAGGCATATTAAAAATATTTCTAACTTTCGCCGGTCGCGTGTAAAAAGTTACCTGTAGCTGCTAGTATTTCGCGGGCTTAAAAAACTTTATTTTGCATAGAAAACATAAAAAAGTCAGAAAGAAGTTAATCAGGCGTTCTTGGAAAGTCTTTATATTTATGTATGCATAACTTGAATGAATGTGCTCTTGGTGTGAACGTTCTTTTAGTGTTAACATTAAAATATGCCTCTAGCGCTTAGAACGTTCATGATTAGTGTTTTTTATATATATCTAAATATATATTTGAAAATTGGTAACCCAGGCATATTATGATAATGATAAGGAATCTCTGGATTTTATTTTGAATTTTTTATTAAGCTTTCAACTCGGTGCTTCGAGCCTTCGTCAGAATGTGCGAATATATTATTTACAAAGATTTTGTAGGCGTTTGGAGCGTCTGATTGGTTGGTTAGTAGTTGAGTTGATATTATTGGATGGTATAAGATGCGTTGTCATGGTTTCGGGTGTATGGATTGCGTTAATGAAATTTGAGTGTTTTATTTTAGTCGTTGTGTTATTAGTTTGTTGTCTTGGTTTTATCTTTAGTTGTGAATAGATGATGGGGATGTCAATATGTCTGTTTATTGTGTTGTTGTCTTTGCTGTACCATGCCTCTTTGAATTCTCGTGCGTGTTTTGTCTGTGCGCGTCCAAGAAGTTGTGTTTTTGTCCAGTCAAATGTGTGGTTGGTATCGTAGGTATGTTCTGCTGGTAGTGATTTTGGGTCGCGTCGTTTGATGGCATTCTTGTGTTTAGTGAGTCTTGTTTCAATTTTCTTGGATGTTTGTCCTATGTACTGTTTGGGGCAATCTTTACATGGTATCATGTAGACCGCGTTGGTTGTGTCAAATGTTGTTCGGTCTTTATGTTTAGTGAAGTATGATTTGAGTTTGTGTGTTGGTTTATGTGCGATGTTTATTTTGAATGGTCGGAGTAGTCTTGATGTCATTTCTGATGTTCCGTTTATATATGGTAATGTCACTATTTTTACTGGTTCGTCTGTATCTTCGTTAGGTTTTTCAGTTTGTGGTTTGTTGTGTATTTTGTTTAGTACTTTGTTGATAAAGTTTCGTGGGTAATTGTTGTTTTTGAATGTAGAGTATAAGTAGTTGCGTTCATTCTTCTTGGCTTCTTCTGTATTGCAGTGTGTTTTAATCCTGTTAAAGAGAGTTCGTATGCAACTAATTTTGTGTTGTGTTGGGTGATTGCTATTAAAGTTGAGTATTTGGTCTGTGTGTGTATTTTTGCGGAATACTTGTGTGTTTAATGTGCCGTCATGTGATCTGGTAAGTAAAATATCTAGGAAGGTAAGTTGTTTGTTCTGTTCTTTGTCCATGGTGAAGGTTATGTTCTGTGTGGTGTTGTTTATTGTGTGTAGAATGTGTTCTGTTTTGTCTTTTTCGACGATAGCAAAGATGTCGTCAACAAATTTTCTCCATAGTCTGATGTGTGTGTTGTTGGTGACTGACTGCTTTTCAAGGTGTTGCATAACAGCTTCTGCAAGGAAGGTGGATAAAGGAGAACCCATTGGTGTTCCTGAGATTTGTCGGTAATATGAATTTTGGAAGGTGAATTCAGTGGAGAGGCAGAGCTCGAGCAGGTCGATGATATCATCTTGGTCTAGTTCGGTTGTGATTTTCCATGAGTTGTTGTTAGTAAGTAGTTCGTTTGTGACTGTTTTGGCTATGTTTAGTGGTATGGATGTGAAAAGTGACACTACATCGTAAGATATCATGATTTCGTCTGGTTTTAGTTTTACATTTTTAATATTGGTGAGGAAAGTTGTGGCATTTTTGATAGTGTGATGTGATGATTTGACTAGCGGGTGCAGAATATTAGAAAGATATTTTGATAGTTCATACGTGGGAGATCCAGGAAGAGATACAATTGGTCGTAGCGGGTTGTTTTCTTTGTGAATCTTTGGTAGTATCAATTGTATCTCTTCCTGGATCTCCCACGTATGAACTATCAAAATATCTTTCTAATATTCTGCACCCGCTAGTCAAATCATCACATCACACTATCAAAAATGCCACAACTTTCCTCACCAATATTAAAAATGTAAAACTAAAACCAGACGAAATCATGATATCTTACGATGTAGTGTCACTTTTCACATCCATACCACTAAACATAGCCAAAACAGTCACAAACGAACTACTTACTAACAACAACTCATGGAAAATCACAACCGAACTAGACCAAGATGATATCATCGACCTGCTCGAGCTCTGCCTCTCCACTGAATTCACCTTCCAAAATTCATATTACCGACAAATCTCAGGAACACCAATGGGTTCTCCTTTATCCACCTTCCTTGCAGAAGCTGTTATGCAACACCTTGAAAAGCAGTCAGTCACCAACAACACACACATCAGACTATGGAGAAAATTTGTTGACGACATCTTTGCTATCGTCGAAAAAGACAAAACAGAACACATTCTACACACAATAAACAACACCACACAGAACATAACCTTCACCATGGACAAAGAACAGAACAAACAACTTACCTTCCTAGATATTTTACTTACCAGATCACATGACGGCACATTAAACACACAAGTATTCCGCAAAAATACACACACAGACCAAATACTCAACTTTAATAGCAATCACCCAACACAACACAAAATTAGTTGCATACGAACTCTCTTTAACAGGATTAAAACACACTGCAATACAGAAGAAGACAAGAAGAATGAACGCAACTACTTATACTCTACATTCATCAACAACAATTACCCACGAAACTTTATCAACAAAGTATTAAACAAAATACACAACAAACCACAAACTAAAAAAACCTAACGAAGATACAGACGAACCAGTAAAAATAGTGACATTTCCATATATAAACGGAACATGAGAAATGAAATCAAGACTACTCCGACCATTCAAAATAAACATCACACATAAACCAACACACAAACTCAAATTATACTTCACTAAACATAAAGACCGAACAACGACATTTGACACAACCAACGCGGTCTACATGATACCATGTAAAGATTGCCCCAAACAGTACATAGGACAAACATCCAAGAAAATTGAAACAAGACTCACTAAACACAAGAATGCCATCAAACGACGCGACCCAAAATCACTACCAGCAGAACATACCTACAATACCAACCACACATTTGACTGGACAAAACACAACTTCTTGGACGCGCACAGACAAAACACGCACGAGAATTCAAAGAGGCATGGTACAGCAAAGACAACAACACAATAAACAGACATATTGACATCCCCATCATCTATTCACAACTAAAGATAAAACCAAGACAACAAACTAATAACACAACGACTAAAATAAAACACTCAAATTTCATTAACGCAATCCATACACCCGAAACCATGACAACGCATCTTATACCATCCAATAATATCAACTCAACTACTAACCAACCAATCAGACGCTCCAAACGCCTACAAAATCTTTGTAAATAATATATTCGCACATTCTGACGAAGGCTCGAAGCACCGAGTTGAAAGCGTAATAAAAATTTCAAAATAAAATCCAGAGAATCCTTATCATTATCATATCTAAATATATATGTATTTGATTTAAAGTAGCTTATGGATGAAATAATGCATTGTTCAACTGTCAACCATATAAGAATTACTCAGATACAACTAGATATGTTTTAAACTCGACACTCATGAGATATTATTTGAGTGAAGAGCGTAAAAATTTCAACGGATAGGGACAGGATATACTTATATTTGTAGGGAACTACAACATTAAGCGGTCACCATAAGGGATTTTGTGTGACCACTTCATACAGGTCTTCAGGAAAACCACCAGAGGGGCTACGTGTGATAATTAATTCAACTAAAAATTAACCAATCGGTATTGTTCCTCAATATATAGCCATGCTAAATAACCCATAACAAGAATTATTTTTAGTATGGAGGGCATTGCAGTTAAAATTCTCGTACAATTGAAATTGTAAACACCAGGTTTATCAATTATAAGATATCGTAAGATTATAAATATAACTTGCACTTTCGCACGAGTAGAAATTTGCTTTTCTCCAGCAACTACGTGCTCATTAGCTACCATTAAAAGAGTTGTGTCCAAGTTAATCTTGAATGGTTAATGTGTGCTTGGTATGCTTTCAATGATTAATGAGTATCTTATATTAAGATTATGTTTGGATATATAACAAACACACAATGCATATATGAATCATGATTTTACACAGTGCTAATGAGATATTTCAATCTTTTATTACAGAGAACGTCCATGTTATAGCCCATGTTGGTACGAATTTAACGGTACATTTTATTCATATTTGATCAATCAAATGCCTTAATTTTGACAATATGTGGGACTCCTATCTTGCAGCCTCTAATTACAGGATTTACAAACTAGGCAAATATCGAGTAAAACTTAATTTTTCTCACTATTGGAAAATCGCAGTTTTTATAACGAAAGTATGTCATTTTCGAATGCATAGGAATTTTTACTATACAGACCGGAAATGTCTTCAATGTAATATCTCATGAGTGTGAAGTTAGCAAAATATCTAGTTGTATCTGAGTAATTCTTGTAAGGCTGAAAGTTAGTAGGTACAGAAGTATGCATTATTTCAACCAAAAACTGCTTTGTATACATTACATGTATATTTCGATTCGTATGAAAAACAAAAATCAAGCATGAATATCCAAATGGCGGATATATTAAAAAATTTATCGCATTGCCTTCATGAATGGGAAAATAAAGATATTTACAAAGACTTAGTTGAGGCAGTTAACGTATTTGAGAAAAAAGAAAAGAAAAAACCCGGTTTTCAAACATTAATTTGTACTTCGTCTTCGACAACAAAATTTCAACAAAATTGATCAGCCATTGCTTGTTTATTTTTTCAGCCAATCACATTTTGTCACGTGGTTAAGCTAGCCAATAGCATTTCTTCAATCCTATAGATCACGTATGCTGATATTTGCAAATCAAAATTTTTTAATGTTCCAAGTGTTGGGAGACAATGAAAACCAACTGTTTGCCCGTTTAATTTGGGATTTTTTTCTGATTTTATTATATAAAGCAAATAGATAACATTTAACCGTTTTCTATACAGATTTTCTTTGGCGAACGAGTTTGAAGTTCACGGTTTAACAAATGCTTCTGGATACAAATATGAACACTGCTAAAAGTAGATACCTTGTTCTAGCGGTGTGTATGGAAGCTATGGTGTTGTGAAAAGAAAAATCTGACGGAATTGAAATATAAGTGCCGCTCGATATTTGATAAATAAAAGTGACTCGCCCCGGCGGCTCGTGACCCCTTTTTTAGTTTCTGTCACAATTGACGTCATACCCGTGTATCTATACTGTATAGACAACGGTTAAATGTTATCTATTTGTTAAATATCGACCGGCTCTTATATTTCAATTCCGTCGGATACAACTTTTCACAACACCATAGCTTCCACACACACAGCTAGAACAAGGTATCTACCTTTAGCAATTTTCATATTTGTATCCAGAAACATTTTTAAAAGTGTGAACTTCAAACTCGTTCGCCAACGAAACTCTACTTAAAACTTACGCCAGCCATTGTAATTGCTTTGTTTAGAATAATGCAACTTTCCCACTTTGAAATGTTTTATTTTGATTGGCTCTTATATTACTTCTTTTTTTGACTAACCAATTAGTAGCAGTTTTAAAGAGAAATCAGTACTGGTGTTTCGCTTTTTTGCACCGGTGTTTCGCATTATTGCACTGGTATTCAGGAAAAATTATACTTCTCTAAACCAATCAGAATTGAGAAATTTTTTCATGTAACTATATTATTAGTTTCATAAACAGAAGAAAAGTGAGCAAATACGAGCGCGTTAAAATGTTGGTCGAAATTGCATTGTTCGTATTACATCACTTTCATGTGTAGGTAACATGAAAGAGACAGTAGTTAATAAAAAAGTAGTTAAATACTAAAATTTGAGTATCCAAGAATAACGCCCATATTCTGAAAGCTCACTCACATTCACACTCAATATGTGGACTCACTTTCACACTCAATATGTGGACTCACATTCACACTCAATATGTGGACTCACATTCACACTCAATATGTGGACTCACATTCACTCTCAATATGTGGACACGCATTCTCAATGAGTGCTTACTCACACTTGCATAGTATAATACTGCACTCATACTCCAACAATTAAAAGACACCACTCACCCTCAAGCGTAATTGAGAGTTTGAGTAAAGTGTATGTCAGAGGTATATGTCCCTTCAGCAGCACTCAATTATACCAATCAGACATAGATGCGGATCGGTGGATAAAGCGGATACAATGTTTGAATAATACAAAATAAAGCAAATTCCGAAGAGGGACATCTCGTTTTCTTGATATTCAAGATATTACAAGAGTTTGAAACAAAATAATGTGTAATATTTCGTCTTTATTCCAAAGACATCATCAGACTTATGGTTTACAATGCAGGCTGCGAAACTTTTATATATTTACAAGCGGAAATGGCAGTTATGTAATTAGAGAACTATAAGACTAAAATATACTAACATTAAAATAGAGATAGTTTCTTACAAGCTTTAAGACCACTATTAAGTTGTGGCATATCGCGTTTTATCAAAAGTGCTTCTAAGATGAGAAGTTGATTAGGATTATTATTTTTACAGTGATATAATATTTTGGTGTTACTAGGAATCAAGTTACAAGGATTGAGTGGCACGTGTGTGAGATCGAGGTCGGAATCAGCGTCAGGAAGTGAGAAAAGGTGTGAGATGTAGTTGGCGTCTGGACAAATGAGTAAATGTTGTGAGATGGCACTAGAATTATTGTAATTAGTAGCATGTTGGGTTAGTCTTGTGTGTAGGTTTCGTTCAGTTTTGCCAATGTATGTATGACCACAGCCTGGACATTTAAATTCATATATAACATTGGCTTTAGAGAGTTCCGGAATTTTGTCCTTTTTGGGACAGAAAATTGATGTCTTTTTTGTTTCATATATAACTATAGGTTTGATGGGAATTTTTAAGCTACGGCGAATTTTACGAAGAAGATTGAAAACCAAACGTTCACCCTGTTTGCCTAGATATGGTATTCTAATGAAAATTTTACGAAGGTCATTCTCAGTATTTTGTTTAGAGGGGTTATTTTTAGCTATGATTTTGGTTTTGAGTTTGTGAATCAAGAATTTCCGGACTGTAAGAGGGAAACCATTCCATGACATAAAAGACTGGAGTGTTTGAATTTGTTTTTTGAATAATGTTTGGTTAGAGCAAATCTTAAATGCGCGAAAAAATAGGGAATTGATCCAAGTAGTTTTGCGGTTGAAAGGTTCGAAACTTGAAAAATGTGTATATTGGCCAGTATGAGTTGTTTTACGGAATATATCGATGTCATTATTTGTTATTTTGAGGTCTAGTAACATTATTTGTTCTGAGACTTGATTCCTAGTAACACCAAAATATTATATCACTGTAAAAATAATAATCCTAATCAACTTCTCATCTTAGAAGCACTTTTGATAAAACGCGATATGCCACAACTTAATAGTGGTCTTAAAGCTTGTAAGAAACTATCTCTATTTTAATGTTAGTATATTTTAGTCTTATAGTTCTCTAATTACATAACTGCCATTTCCGCTTGTAAATATATAAAAGTTTCGCAGCCTGCATTGTAAACCATAAGTCTGATGATGTCTTTGGAATAAAGACGAAATATTACACATTATTTTGTTTCAAACTCTTGTAATATCTTGAATATCAAGAAAACGAGATGTCCCTCTTCGGAATTTGCTTTATTTTGTATTATTTGAAATTGTCTGCTTGTCCTGGTTATGTTTGAATAATATTGTGCCAAGCAACAGGAAGAGACCAAAAACATATCTGTTTGATTACGGCAAATATGACAAGGAGCAATTTCAGAACAGTTGCCGATTGATTAAGGCAGCATTTGACAAGTTACTAGGAATAATCAGAAAACCCATTCCAGCGAATATTTAACGATTAGTAACGCTGCAGTTCTACGCCAATGGAACATTTCAGCTTACATGCAGAGATATCTTGGAAATTTCGCAGTCATGAGCAAGCCGGTTTACAAAACGTATGTCTGAGGCAATTACACGCTTAAAAACTTTTACATTCTATTTCCTGTTTGTGATAAAGAGCCTTTCCGGAGAATTTGTACAATTCCAAGTGTTGTTGGTACAATTCATTGTACACACATCAAAATGAATTGCCCTGGGATGAGAATGCTGAACTCTTTCGAAATCTTCAATCAACGTTCAAGCTGTTTTTGGACAAAATTAAGAAATGTTAAATATTAATGAACAGTGGACGGGTAGGGCATCCAAGACGCTAGGATTTTGGATAACAATCGACTATGTGCACAGTTCAAACGTGGTGATATTTCTAGCATGTTGCTTGGTAATATAGATAGTGGTTATCCATGCTGCCAATACATTATGACACCGATTTTATTATAATTTTAATTCATTGTTGTAAAAGCTTAATTAAACGTTTTATAAATCACCTAAAATATACTGGAATTGTATTACCTATTTTGAAATTTATGTGCTAAAGGATGATTCGAGATGTCAATTTGAGCTGGAATAATCGATGAAACAGCTGTAGCTTCGTCGTCTTGTTAGTATGATGCATGAACTGCACCAGTTAATTTAATTTGTCTCTTCTCTTTTGCAAGATGCTTCTTAGAACGGGATTTTATATTTTCCTAACAATTGTCAAAAATCTCTCCACGTCACACCTGAAAGGGAATGAAACCCTTCTGGTAGAGCTCCCCCCACACTGCTTTTTTGTTGTATCGTTTTGTAATCATTCCTTTTATTGTCCAAATTATGCTTGTGTTTGCGCAATGGTTCTGTTAATTATCTTTGACATTTTCAAAAGGGAAAAATACTGTCTACTTTCGGTGATCTTGTACATGCTGCAACGACATGCAAACACTATTGAAAATTACACAAGGTACTGTGTTTCATTTGTTGACACCTTATTAATATTCAACGCTTCACTCAACTGCAGCAAGTGACTCGTGGGTGATCTCATTGAACACAAATATAATTAATATTTTCAAGTGTGAGTGCTTCCTCATTTAGTGGCTTCTCACACTCATACTCCACTCTCACTCACACTTCACTCACACATCAGTGTGTCTCACTAAGGTCGCACTAAAGTGTGAGTGATCTTTAAGAATACAGGCGTAAGTCCTCAAAAAGGTGTGCGAAATTAAGTGCTGCGAATTTAAACTGCAAAAGAGTACCACAAAAATTCATCATTAATTTTACCGTTTTCTAAAACCTTTTCGGTGAGCGAAGTATAAATAATGCCAACTGCAATTTGAGCCATTCTTCGAGCTGGAGCAGAAAGATTTTCAGAGTTCTTCGTTGAATCGCCTATAGTGCGATAAGGACATTTCCTTAAAAATCTATTAGCTAGTATGGCTCAAAATATTTTCTCAAAGTAGCAATTTTAATTACATACATAATTGTTTTACAAAGATTTACACAATAAGTTTAAAATTTTGTGGTAAGATGAAATTCTCCTTTGTATTTAAGGCGTTTTTAGCTAAAACTTTATATTAAGCAAGGCAAATTACTGTGTATATTTGTGTGATTCCACGAGTTTGAGTAACATTTTTCAATTGTAGACAAATCATTATACTAGTTTCTTGTGTTGATTAGCATTTTCGGATCTAGCGTTAGTCAAAGAAAAATCTTTTTGTGATTCCATGACTAAATTGGGAAAGATTAAAACAGACGATGTTGCACGGGTTCATTTATTGAACGATTCATTTCATTAAAAAATATAGTCAGCCAAAGACTAAGGATACAAAAACGCGTTTTTTCAAATGGTATATCTGCCTTTTTATTCACAGGATAAAATACTTACTTGGAGAAGCCAGACACTTTATTTGGTCGCTATACCACAAGGTTAATCTGTAAGCCACGTCAGTGCAAATGTCAGTCTGCTCACCAATAGTTGCTAAACATGATATGTACTGAGCAATTTCCTTCTGCCTGTACTTGTCTACATCTTTCATAACTTTGGTCGCCACTTTCACGAGAGACTGTAAAAATTAAGAAAGCACATAAAAAAAACAATAAGAAAAATGTGTGGCCAAAAGGGGCGACTTGTACAGAAAATTTATAAAACCTTGAGAGGTCACAAATGACATCATATTACGTTGATGCATGAAATTTTTATCATTAAGAATAATGACTGCAGAGTAAAATACTAAAGCCCACCATAGATACCTAAAATGCACTTTTAAAAACTATGTAATCTATGAGCCAATATGGAGAGCCCAATAACTGAGCATAGAGAAATAGATGAATTGGTTATTTCAGCAATACTTTTACATAGGAAATGGTGTTTGGCTAAAATTGAATTGTGTTTCTTTTACAATACTAGTCAAATTCAAACTTTTCCCTCTTATCTTTATTTCTCCGCAAATAACTTAGACCCTGCATCTTCGTAATATTGACCCGCTTTCTTAAATATTACCCGTGAATGTTTATCAATGCAACATGCAAATGAATGCATGCTATCAAATTTCAAATTATTTCAAGTAAGCTAGTATTGCACTTGTGATCCACAATTTTAAAAAGTAGCTACTCGGTTTACTCAATCACGAGACTGGACTCGATTATTGACGTCATCGTTTTCAAAAACCTCCAAAAATCATCCATCCACACGTAAATACAAACCGGCGTTTTCTAAAGTCTTCACTCTAGAGAGCGTATTCGAAAACCTCCGTTTATGTGTTGATTAAACTTTATATGCTATTTCTTACTCAATTGCACCAAAATAGTATTTCTTGCTGTGGGAGTGCACAATGTCTCACAATTTGTTTCAAGGACTTATTAATAGAAAATGTGTTAAACTTAGCAGTTATATATTTGCGACAAATTTATATGATATGAAACTATTTGCTATCTTTTACTGGAGAAAATACTTTCACTCTTGATATATATTTTGAGCACATAAAGCTTTTGAGTAAAACGGATTTAGAAAACACTAAAAAAGTGACGAGGCTTGTTTTGAACATATTTACAACATACTCAAACGAGAACTTGAATAAACCGTCTGACAGAAGGATAAATTGGCGAAGGTTTTGAAAATGTTCTACTTTGATACGTTTTAATACTATCTCAGTGAATTGAGGTGAATAATAAAATTATTAATGAATTAAAGAATTATTTAGACCTCGGTTAATGTTATCTACCTCAGCTTGATCTCGGTCTCAAAAATTCTTGATATCATGCTCAATTTCATCCAATAACTGTTTATTAGTCACGACTTTCTAACTACGTTCCACAAACATTCACACAAGACAAATTGCCATCTTAATCAAAAATAACGTGGAATTAAGATGGCCAAAATGTTTGTATTATTGCAGCACACAGCAAAAATTTCTTTCTTATTTTAAGAAAAAATGGACTTATTATAAGAAAAATTTCTTACAAATTTTCTTCAGAAATATTGAGATTTTTTCTCACGAATTTTCTTAAGATTTTTTTTTCTTAGAAAATATCAAGATTTTTTTCTTAATATAAGAAATGCTTTTCCTATATAAGTTTCTCATTTTGAAGCAATTGTCTTAAAATATGTCAAATATTTCTTATAGAAAAAATAAAATAATATTTTAAAATAAATAATATTTTAAAAATAAATAAAATATAATTTCTAGCAATCTAATAAAAAGTCAAAGTAAGTAAAACTCTAAGAACTACCATACCATACAGTGGGCATCATGTAATTTTTTACAAGCCTCTTTTACCAAAATTGTCAGCATCTAAACTTTTTTTGTCTTCAGTAATTTCATGGCATTAACTATTTATCATAAAAAAGAAAATCACTCACACACACTAATTAATGCACCTTAGACGGTTTCTACTTAGCAATTTCAACACATATATATCTCAATTCATTAATTTTATTTCATTCCTGATCCACACTAACAACATAAACATACGTATAAACACAAGCATCTATAAGAGTCTTCACTTGCAATAAACACAAGCATACAAACAAAGAATAAAGACTTTAATGATTTTCTTGTGTTTATCATTTATTTCACGACACGTGGGAAGACGAGGTTTTAAAATCATAAAAAATATCAATTAAAGTCTGAAAGCATCCGATGAAAATCAAATTCCTTACAATTAACTGACATTAATTTATAACATGATTGAAGGTACACGCAACACAACATCTAACCATGAACAGAGGCAACTCTAAATCGGCTTTTCAACGGCCTTTCGTAGCTTTCTTTGTAGCTTGTGTATGCATCGTATTTTTTGTACGCACAAATGTGTATTTCACATTTTTATTTGTAAAACCAGAATCACAGAAGAATCGACTAGCCCTTGAAGCTGTGAAAACGTTTCAAATTTTGAATTTAGTGTTGATTAATAAATTCGTTGGTCATGTGACTGAATGGTCCTCCGGCTCCGGGTGCTCAGTTTCATAATTAATATTAAAACGCCTCATACCGGAGATTTGTACGAGTTCAAATATTCAAGAATGTTTTGTTGGTTGATTGCATTTGTATGTAATAAAAGATTGAAAATGTGATAAAATAAATAAAAATTAAAATCATTGCAAACTTTTGTTTTTCGCAAGCTGGAAGCCGCAAAAAAGTCAAAAGGTTGTTAAACAATGCAAACATAATGGTAAACATACGGAAATGTCTAGTACAACAAACTACCGTCAGATATTGCTAGAATTTCATTGTTCCACTGCCAGTATATATTGTAAAAAGAAAAGCGCTTAGTGAGGGCGAAATTTGACATCCTCCACATGCTGAACATTTACAATACATCATCAGCCGTATGCCATAACACAGCGTTTGTTAAGAAAATATTCTTTTTTGTAACACAATAATTCTTAAAACAGTAAAATATTTTTTTGCAAAAAACTAACCAGATTTCTCGAATTAAGAAAATTGTATTTCTTAAGAAATAGCTTCCTCTTTTTAGAAATTTTATATTTATAATAAAAGAAATTCTTTTCTTAAGGAACTTTTTCCTCGTTTTTAAAAAAATATTCTTATAACAAGAAAATATATTTTCTTAACAAAAACCAGATTCCCAAATTGAGAAAATTACATTTCTTATAATAAGAAATGTACTTTTCTTAAGAAATTGTCTTCTTGTTTTAAGAAATGTACTCTTAACACAAGAAAACATATTTTCTTAAGAAAAAACAGATTTCTTAAATTAAGAAAATGTATTTCTTAAGAAAAACCTTCCTCTTTTTAAGAAATTTTTTTCTTATAATAAGAAATATTCATTCTTAAGAAATTTTTTCTTGTTTTTAGAAAATTATTCTTAAAACAAGAGAATATATTTTCTTAAGAAATTGATTTTTTGCTGTGCAGGCTACAATTCTATTTTGGGTACATTGAATGCCAGCAAACAAACGTTGACCCAAAAATGGAATGATTTTTTGGGGACATGCAGTCACCATAGTGTTAACTTTATGGGTAAGGTGTTTTTGACAGAAAATGAACAACCTACATAGTTACAGTTCACGCCACGTTCAGAAGATGAAGTAACTAATTAGCGTTACAATTACTCAATGATACTGATCTTTGTAGAAAACGATAAAAAAATACACACCTTTGTAAGACCCCCAACGATTGGATCAAAAGAGAATACGCTTAAAATGCCGGTTGCGACTCCTTCGACAACTGACGCCTTTGTCGATAGACTTCCACCAGACGAAACTACCATCGAACTTGCAACTGCCTTAATAAGAGAATTTTCACTAAGTTAGCTCAATCAGGGGAGGAAAATTTCAGTGTAGTAGAAACACACAAAATAAACATTTGGATGTTCCTGTGCTGTATCCTTTTTAAGAGTAACATGATTGGGCAAGATACCCGTGGTCCATAAACGGAACTAGAACATCCAGTTTAACATTAAATTTTATGGCCGTGGGTAGAACGTTAACTGTGTTTATTCATTTATTTGGTTGTGCACGACCGGCTTCCTTTGAAAATGAATTTCTTTGTAAAACAAATTAATGAAGCACAACTTAATATGTAAATAAACAACCCCTAATTGACATTCTACCTAGAGCCACAGAATAGACATGTAACAAAAGGCCCACTCGGCTAAAATCGTGGCGTATTTTGTCATTACGCACGCGTAACTTCCCAGCAAGATACTTTCACAAAATCAATATGGAATGGTATTGCTCGAATGCTATTTTACAAAAATTTTACGTTTAGAGCAAACGTTAGCCGAAATTTTTACAAAGAGTTATCATCTTGCAAAGAAGATAAGGTTCCAAGCTTTTGTAGTGCAAAGCAATATATTTAGAAAAAAATCTATATATTCTATAGTGATCTAGCTGAAGTATCTTGTTGGAAGGCGTGTCTGCTTAGAAATTGCTTCAGAGAAGTGGGGGGGGGGGCACGAACATCAAAGGTTCCGACACGTGTGGACCTTCTGTTAAGATCTATTCTGTGCTACAGCCTTATTAAATTAAATATACTCGTCGAACATTTTCTAATCTTATTACATGATGAGGTAGATAATCACTAGTTCAAAATAGCTGGTTCTAAAAGCTATTTAAAAAGTTTTCTTTGCTATTTTTATGCGTTTGTGTTGTCTTTATTTCATACAAAACTTTACATGGTTGACCAGATTTCTTTTCGTCTGTTTTAAACGCTTCTCAAATAAAGAAAACTGCCATAAACTGCCAAAAAATTTTGTTGCAGCCATTTCTATGCACTCATATGATTGATCACTGCATTGCTATTTACTAACCTTGGCACCAACAAAAATTTCTTCTACACCAAGAGACACAGTTCGGTAAAACAGCAAGAGATTGATATGCGTAGCTTCAAATCTCTTAGATGCTTCATAATGCATATTTTGCCTTTTCTGTTGAGCTTCTAAGATTTCTTGTTGAGCGTGCAACGTCTTCATGTCATCTTGTAAAGACATCATTTCTTTACGGATACGATCACGTTCTCTGAAACAATTAAAATACTAGTTCTTTTCATTGGACATTAAAATTTGAGTCAATAATTAATCTTGACAAGGTGCTTTTGGCAAAAGCGTTGATGTCCTGATGACAATATAGCTTCTAATCTTGCACAGTAATGTTTTTAAGCTGTTTCAAACTTTCAAATCCGTAACTAAGCATATCTATAGTGTTGCAAGGGTCGTAAAACCCTTTGGAGCACGTATCAGCAGCTCCAAAAATGGAAAAATAATAGTTAATACTAACAAAATAACGTCTCTACTGAAACGTGATGATTGTATGATGCAATATGACGGCTCTATAGAGTAAAACTTTGTGTAAATAAAACACTGATGCTTTGGTCTTAGTCAGCCATACCAAAAATGACATATATATAGCGACATCTTAAGAATTTTATATGTTGAGTGAATTTTCGATTTCATGCTTTTCATTGCATGATTGTTAAAGTCTTGAAAAACATGTTTCATGATAACAGCGGTTCCAGAGAGAGCCAGAGTACATTTTTTACATTGTATTTACTTCATCAAATTATATAGCTGCCTGCTTTCTAAATTCATCCACCACTTGATAATTTTTGCCAGGAAAAAAGTGGAGCACCCGGAAAAAACCCACGAGCTTCAGTTGAGAGCTGACAAACTCATTCTAAATTTATAGCAGTATCCGATTACACGCCAATTTTAATTGAACAGGGATCTAACTTCCAACAGAATGGAAAGTATTGAGTTTGACCTTTCCACTACTGAGGCTCATTACTATAAATACATTTCTAATTTAAATACTTAACAATTAGTAAAGCAGCTGTTGTTGTTGTAACATTTTAAATTTAAATGTATTATGAATTTAATGTGATTTGAATTTGATCTATAACTGTCTAATGCAAAAATGTTAAGTAATTATTTAAGCCTGTTATAATTATAAATGCATGTGTGATTATGTATGCATGTATGCATGTGTTAGTTGTGTGTGCATGTCTTGTCGTTTGGTGAGCACAACCATAAAAAAGCAGGTTTTTCTGGAGTAAAGGACAATTGTAGTATGGAGAATGACCAGCGATAAAGATAAAAAACTACAAATATAACCGGATAGATATTACATATAAATTTACCAACATATATTTCCCAAAAATATGGATAATTAAACAAGACGGATTAATTATATGTATTTTATGGCATTGTTACCTGGCTGACTGTTCTTCAGATAGTTGAACTTTCATTTGCGCAATTCTTTCAAAATATTCACGATCTCTGACATGCATCTGCTCTTTCTGCTGTTTTAAACCTGACAACGCTTCTTGCACTTGAACCAGTTCTTCCTTAAAATTTTCTTTTAGTTGATTCAAGTCATCAACTAGAATCTTTTTCCGAGCTTCCTCAGCCTACAGAGTGTAAAAATAGGTAGACGTTTTATGATAACAGGAATTATAAATCATATAATTAGCTACTGCTTAAAAATTGTGACTATTCCTGTTCAGGCATTCAAAGGCTAAGCGTGGCTTTACGTGAAAACCAGCTTCCCTAATGTCTTCTCCATGGGCAAAATATGTTAGCTTTCAGCAAAAATGATCTACATCAAGTCAAAAGAGAAGTAGTGGTTTGTTTTATAATGATAACACAGATGAATTCAGCATTGATGAAATAAGTACGGCGTAGGCAGCGTTAACATTCGCCTTTTATCTAAAAAGCAGTTTATTTTATTTTTCTATCATAAAATTTTCTAGTAATAAAAAAGCAGAAAGTTAAATAAAACATTAGTTTTCTTCGGACAACTTGACTGTCGTTTAAGCGATGTTCTTGAGTTCGCAAATGTACGGAAGCCAAGTCAACTTCTTCTGGCAGTTTAGTCGCCATACATTATAATAAAAATACCGATGTCACTTTACAAATAAATCGAAATACTAATAAGAGTTTACCGTAGAATAGTTCCTCGTGATACTTGCTGACTTTGTTGTAAACATGTGCGTGTGTTGCGAACTCAAGAAAATCGCTCAAACAACGGTCAAGTTGTTCAAAGAAAGCAAATGTTTTTTTTCACTTTCCGCTCTTTGACTACTAGAACATAGGACTCACATGTATAAAAAATGTTTTTGCACCCCCTGCAACATGGCTGCAATAACCTTAAAAGGTCTATTCTTATACAACAGCAGAAAAATAACATTCTTTTGCTTGGCATGTTTGACATGCTTACTCTACTACTAATAGAGCAAAAGAGCTTTGCTAAATATTAGGTAGCAAATAATTTCATTATCAAACAAACACTCAAAACATTAAGTAAGTAATTCATTCAAATTTAAACTTGTAGTCAATTTTCATTTCAAAAATTTCCTTTTTCGGCAACAAATTGTTTGCATGCAAAATGACTGCGAAATCAATGAACGAAAAAAAATGTTTAACCATTTTGTTTTATATGACATGATTAGGATATTCGATAGAGCTGTTGCTATCTGAATCGAAGGTGTATCTTAAACTAATATTAAGTTACAAACAACTCCTTGTCATTCTAAAAGCCTCCAAAATTATTTTTTAAAATACATGCTTCAAATAAGCTACAAATAATAGACGAGAGGGTATTGATGATTAAGTTTGAATGATTCTGCAGTGCTTTTTCTTCTTTAGTTGTTTATATCAATTCATAACTTTTATAGCTACCTTTTCGTTCATATTTTGAAAAAACATGTCATAGCTTCGCGGATCGTTGGGATCCAATGCACAGCCAGTGATTTGAGCACTTAGGCTACGTAGAAATCCAGTTAAAATCACCTATCAAATAAAAAATCAAGAATGTTTAAATTAAACGTTTGTCATACCGGAACTCTCGGCGTATAACTGCACAACTCACTTTTAACTAAGTCATTAAATTCCAAGATAACTGAAACTTTTTATATCATAAAATCGTATGAAACACATTGCATTTCCATATTCTTAGAAAACTCAATTACACGTAATTTATAATGAATTCTACAGCAGATTTTAAATAAAATATTTATTTCTGAATTCGTTTTTATATCTCTTTAACATTAAAAAATGAAATATTGGCATTGTTCGTCTTATTATTGCGAAAACAAAAATTTAATTGGTCAAATCGTTCAATTTTTGTCGCGCTTTAAAGTTAGCAAAAGCGACTTTTGAGTGGTTCAGGTCCGTGGCAGCTAGAAGCCTGGAACGAGTAAATTTTTTGACGTCATCGAAGGGAGTCATTAACTACAGTCTATGTCTATAGTATTCGTTGCATACTTTTGCGTTCAATACTTTGATAGAAAAAGAATTGTATTTGCTGATGGCGAATAGTTGTCTAAATGCTAAATTGATAAATAAAGCGTGCCTAAACGACAAGCGACAAGAAGCAAAGAGGCGACGAAGAAAATCAGTTGACTTTGCTAAGGCAAAACGCGTCTTTAAACCGTTTGGAAGGCTAAAGTGTATATTTTGCAGATTTGAAGCCAAAAGATTACATGCGCCGTTTTCAATGTTGCCTGATGAGAAGAATGTAAATCGTATACAGACCGTTTGAAATAAAAGCATCGTTAACGTCAGTCTATCAAAATACTATGAAAAAATGCTACATTGCTTATAACTCAGACGACCTAGTTGTATAATGCTGATTACTATAACCAATCGGAGTCGCTTACGTTCACAGAACAAATTCGTCAATTTTGTATCATTTTAAATGTGTTATGCCGTTTTCTCATATGCATATTGTAGCCTGCTGCTGATTTTTGTTAACCGAAGCTCCATATGCTGCTAGACCATTTGTTATAGTCTCTACTGTCTGTAGTGGTTGTCTTCAGCCTATTAAATAGTATTCCTCGAAATGAAGTTATTGTTTGACTCGTCGGTCTTAGAACTTTGCAATAACTTTGTATTACTTATAAAGAATATGACTACTACGAAATTCCATCGAAAAGGAATTAGGCGTCCAATTTGATCATATCTCGTCTACCGCAAATGACATCAAAACATTGCCGACTCCAAACTCCCTTGCATGACGTCAAAAACAAAGCTAGAGCCAGTCTATTTGCCGTCACAATATACGACGTCCATGAGCCATCAAGTACTAAATATAAATCGCGATAAAAATTGAAAAATTTTACTAACTCAATTTCTGTTTTCGCGAAAATACTAGAAATAATGCCTAAATTTCATTTTACGAAAATTTTTTTCGGGTTATTGGCACTTTAACAAGACACTATGCCTTTAGATGCAGCTGCAACTTTAGCTGCATCTAAAGAAAAAGCACAAGCAAAATTTTAACAATGAGCAAAAAGTCCATTAAATGCTTCTCAAGTTCAGTACCTGAGACTCCGCTGAACCTGTCAACTTATGTTCCGATGTATCTTCAATCAACTCTTGATAATGGTGAGCCAGTTTTTTTTCAACTTCCTTTTGGTTTTCTTTTTGGCTTTCTTTCCACATTTCAACGCAATGATAAACTTTTTCGTCTCTTCTTGAATATATTTCTTCAATGAACTCTTTAATAATTGTCATGTTGCAGTTTTTCACAGCTTGAATCAATTCTTGCAGCTTGTATTTTGGTGGATTATAAACTTTTTTACCCTTTTCGTCTTTCACCTCACCCCCTAACAATCTAAGAAAGAGTAGCAAACTATTAGGCTATATTAAAAGGATGCAAGTTCTTACTCTGAAAACTATGTGGTTCACAGCTTATTTTATTTTAAACGTTGTACTTTCATTTCACCAATACCATATGATAATAAATTTTTGATAATGGAGCAATTACAAGGACACGTCATCATGTTTTTGCATTAATTATATGTTAAAGGTGCACACAAAAGATAGAGCAAAAATCACAAAATTTGCAATTGAAATTTGTTTTGAAACTTGCATTTCTTCTTTTTAAATTGATATTTTAAACTGTGAATAATCACGAATGATCGTTAGATGGATAATGATCAACGATTCTTTAACTCTTCTAATTATCTTTCAACTTTGAAAAAAGATGCATTTTGCGTTTCCTTTCCGTAGACGTAAGGAAAAATTTTAGAAAGATAAGTTAACTAAATTTAAAATTTCTGTTGTTTGTCCTAGAGATTGGTAAAACCGTCAAAAGACAAAATTCTGTAAAGATGATTGATAGCGTCGAGGCTGAGAGAGAGAGAAGCATCTAGAAAAGAAAATGCTCATGCCAAAAAGTGTCAAGATTACTATTTTTTATCAAATTATCTGTCAAGGATCTGTCAAACTAAACTTCAGAAAAAAATCGTGCAGTCCAGCTGGTACTTATCATATTTCCATACACTCAAAATGGACTACTGGATTACAAAAGCACAAATAGTATCGCTAAAGAATGCAATACAGGCAGGCCCAAAGCTCTAGACCAAGTATATTTTCGACGAGCATCGCCTTTGATATAAAAGAAATTTATTTGCAGATTGAGATAGAAAGAAAGAAGATTATCTTTAGGCTTTCACCAGTATCTCAACAATTTACTTGAAGTAATTTATTTTGTCTGCAGTTTGATTGACAGAGGATATAATTAGCAATTTTGTTCCCTAAAAGGGCTCAAATGGTCCCTGATAATACATTTGTACGAACTGAGTATAATTGTCTTTATGAAACATTTCACACTGTCCATCCATTTCAGACTAAACTCCTCTTGACACTATGAGGAAACAGACTCTTGTCGTAAATTTTGTATAAAGTATGCCCAAGAAATAAGCCCTGATTTATGATAAACTAGTCAAATGTTTTGACTGTGTGATTTTCTCAAAAGAAAATGCCAATTTTCATTTGTGTATTTCAAAATCCCAGAAATGTCATTGAGCTAAATCTTTAATCAACTATTTAAATCAACCATAAATGTTGTTTCAGCTATTTAGCTTCATTTACCTGACAACCTCTTGATGATCTGATGCTTCAGCAATTTGAAGAGGTGTTTTTCCGTCCTCATTTGTTAGTGTCTTGTTAATGTTAATTTCTTGAAGTAAATACTCAACAACTGCTGTATTGCCTCTCGCTGCTGCTATTCCCAGTGCATAGTTTCCTGAAACATAGACAACAATCATTAAATTTTTCAAGAAAATTTTTGACAATTCTATTGTTATCAGCCGATATGAATTGTACTTTTGAATAAAAAAGTTTACTTGTTAATGAAAAAAAATACTCTCTTCCCCCGCACATCTAAACTGAAGTTTACAAAAAGACAGTGAATGTGACCATCCAAGGTAATGCAACAATTTTTGATCCAATTTATAAATGCAAAGCAAATGCTCCTTTTAAACTCAAATTTAAAATGTTTTTTTACATTTCACAAGACTAATTGAAGCGTATTTAGAATGTAGTTCTGATAAAACTGAAGTTTACTGAATTTTCCATACACTTATTGAACATGCTAATCTCAAGAATAATTTGTTTCATTGTGTATACAGTCTTTTTTAAGACAAGCAAAACGTCTTGCAGGCATGCAAAGGAAACAAATTTATGCTTTTCAAGAATTTATATTAAATATTGAAATTTTAGCCGACGCATTTTTCTAAGACATCCCTATACTTCATGGAAAAAGAATGACGGCCATCTTTATACCTTTTGCATCTGCTGGACTTGTAAGAACACTGCCTCGATTTTCCAAGAACTTAAGCATGTCAACACTGTGATAGTTAATGCATAAGGAAATGGCTGTCTCCTTTGAGTTTGGGTTACAGTAAGCAATATTAGCACCAAGTTGCAGTAGTAAATCTAGTTTGGTCGAATCACCTTCGATGACTGTGGCAAGAAACTGTTCGTCCACTGAGCGTTGTATATAATTCTTCAAAGGTTCATTGTCATTCAAACCTAGAATATGCTCAAACTCATTACTCAGAAAATTTGCTGTTGATGAAGCCCACAGTTTTTTTCGTATATATAGGTCTCAGTTTTGCTAACACTAAAGTTAGGTAGCAATTCATGTACAAAATCTCTCACACTAAGAACACAAAACCTGAGGAGTAAAAAATATAATTTAATATTGTATATGATTGTGTAACCAACCTGTACATTTCGTCAGCCTTCATCAGTACACATGACTATGCAGACCCAATTGAATCAAAATAATAACAAAATGGTATTGTGCAAACTTCATTTCTATGAATTTTTATGTTGACTATACATAATTAGACGCTAGACATACGTTTGAACTTCTAGACTTCAAAAATAATTTTCCACGTGCAATATTTCTTAAAAGACATATATTTCATGCAAAATCATAAATTTTTGAAATAATAAATATCATTGTCAGCCTAATTGCAACTCTAGTACTTCCTATGACAGACATTGTGCAAACATTTAAGAAAAATTCAGCAATTTTAACACAAAATATGAAGCGGTCATGAATATATGACTTTGCATGTACATGCCACATTATTTAAACCAACAAAAAAGGTATGTAAATTTTGCTTATATAAGCACCTCAGTATAACTGTTGTATTGTGTTTCGATTTGTTTTACGCTGCCCTGAAAAGATTTGGACGGATAATTTTAATATTTCTGCTTCTATTCTAAATTTAATTATTCATGGAGTCATAAGGCAACAAAGTAGTTGCTTGTTCATCTACTGCTGCGAAAAAGAAAAAACGGTGGCAGCAAAACATTCGCTGCTAATTATTTTGTATTTTAAGAATACTCCTATAAAACTAAATATTTTAGCTTACTTTCCAGTTTGCCAATTGGATTGACGGACTTATCTGATCTCACAAGCGACGCACCACGAGATATCAAGTAATGTATTGACTATTAGATAAAAACAATTAAATTAAATTTCCCATTAACAATCAATGGTTTTCTTAGAATCATTGCAGAATAAAACTTTAACGTGCTGACAATGTTACAGTCAAACCGGATGTTGTGTTCCCCTGAACATTGTAACATACCTGTTAATTTAGCAACATTCATTGGCTGATTCCAAACGCAATTTGCAGTTTGAAAATTCAAATTGCAATTTGAAGTTTTCCCGTGCGGTACTGTTGGTACCTCTCATCATGCCGTTCACACAAAAAAATGAAATACTTTCTCTAATTTCTAGGCAAATCGAAACAAATCGAGAGCGTGGGTTAGCTCTACGGGGGCAAGGCGAAACATTCAAAAGCATTGCTTCCAAATTGGGAGTTTCGAAGAGCATATCCTCGAAAATTATAGCAAATCCAAGCCCCACAATCGTACACATTTTCGAAGTGCCTCGCAGATGACCAGATTGTCGTTGGGTGGAAAAGCGATGAACATACCAAGATTTACATCTTTGTATGCAACTCTTATTTTTACACTTGGTAAACTTCGAATTTACGGAACCGCTTCTTTTATCTTCAATATTAATTCATGAAGCAATTCAAACGGTTTCTCGGTAAAAAAACAAGAATAGAGTCCGCCTAAATACGGCAACACTTTCTGAAACCTTTTTTCTATTAATTCTAAAAGAAAATGTTTAACTACTTTAGAGCAAGAAAGTTGCAATTTGTTAGAGCTAGTTGCGTTTCGAATCAACCAATGAATATTGCTAAATTGACATGTACATTGCAATTTTCAGGGGAGCGCAACATCAGGTTTGACTATAAAACCTCCATTACTATTCTCTCATATTGCTGTTTTGTGATCAAATGTGAAGGTACCCACCTTGGTGTCGCCTGAAACAAATGCAGCTTTTAAAGGTGTTATCCCCATGTAAGAATGACAATCCACCTTTCCTCCTTGTAAATGTAATTTCCGTATAGATTCAATGTTTCCACTATTGGCAGCATCAAATAATTTAGCAGTCGTCAAAGACTGCGTGATAAACCTTGTTATTTGAACATTTCCCTAAAAAATGTTCACGAAAGCTTAGTTTAAGCAAATAGCAAGAAAGTTGTTACAGTTTTTTCGTTTCATTCTTCTGCGTCTTAATCACAGTCAGTGATCGTTATTTTACCTAATGAAGGAAAGCTTTGTACAATTTTCATCAAAATTGACTTTTGCAAAATAGTGACCATGCATGGAGAAATACCAGATGGAAATCGAATTCTAACTAAAAATATTAAGTTCAGAAAAGTGCTTTTAAAAAGCCATTCTGCGAAAAGTCATAGAAAATTTTATTACAAGGACGAAACGTTACGCTTTCTTTGTGATAACGCTAACTTAAGAACTCCAACACCTATTGATAGAGCTCTTTCGTTTTTCTCACAAAATAAGTGCTAAATGCAACTTATATGTCAATGCCAAACAGTTTTTCCATGAAAATATGGAAAAAAAACCCCGAACGTCTTACTGAACGTCAACGCTCAAGAACAAAAATTCTCAAAAAATAGAGGAAACATGAATACCTTTATTCGTGCAATATCAATCATAGTATGTCCTTGATGTTTAACAGAGCAGTCAGCGCCAGCATCAACAAGCAGTTTAACTAATTCCAAATCGCCCATTTCCACTGCTTGACATAAGTTAGAGTTACCATCTGAACGTTTTAACTCTGGACCACTTCCCAGATTTAAGATGTGTTTAGCAGCAGCAACGTCTTTGCTAGTCATAGCTTGCTATAAATCATAAAATGTTTTTGTTACTTTTGACATTTTTGTTCTAATTTTACAAAATGAAGATTTTTGTATCGTTTGATTTTACTCAGTTTTAATTTTAGAGGAGCATATGTATTGTATCTTGTCGTTAAGACATTATTTATTGCCATTATAACTAAATTCGAAACACTTTCTACTTTCTACACGCATGGTGGGTTGATGAGTTGTTACACATTACGGAAGTACGTGGCTGTCTCTGTTGTCGAAGCATTCTCCAAGGAATATTTTTTGGGTTTGAGACCAATATCATAAAGATAGAAAGTGTGATGAATTAAAAGAATATTATTTTCGTCAAATGTGATTTTCAATGAATTGCATGCATACCGTTTTGTTATTTTTGATATGTTTTCAATTGCAACTTTATGAACAAAGCTAGTGTTTATTTTAAAATAAAGCATTGCTTTTGGTAGCACTGACGCTGGCTTATATTAAGTAATAACTCATTCACGACTCGTCCGACTTCCACTCTTCTTTAAAAATTTAACCGACAATGCAGAGCGGAACCCTATGGCGAAATTATACAATTACAGTCTTTTTTTAATAAATTCTCCCTTGTGAAAATTTATTTCAGTTAGGCATGAGATTAATTTGTCAATTCTGATTGATTTAGAGCAGAGCTACTATTTATCGTAAATACAGGGCAAATAATAAAGGAAACACGGAGCTAATTTTTTAAAAAGTGCTTTTATTAGTTTAATTGTAATCATCACAAGTTTGCCACTCATCCAAGAAATTCAAGGTAATGAGCTAAAAGCAAAGAAATCAAAAAGTACTACAAACAGAAAAAAACAAGAGCTCATAGACCAAGCGCTTTACAAAATAATTTTGGAAAGACGTTTTAACCGATTGGGTACAAGGCTTGATGTGTCTAATATGTGTCCTCGATAAGTGCACTACTGATGAAATTTGTTTTATTTGTGAATGAAGATGACTTTGATTTTACATACAGTTGGGAGAACTTCATATTTCATTTCACTTAATATTGCAGGTATTATATACTGTTATACAGTTTAGTTTTGCAAACATTTATTCATGTGTTGTAGAGTACAATGAAGGCTCTTACTCAGAGGTTTATTTCCTATTTTCTAGTTATAAATTCAGGGATAGGTTTTACTTAGTAAAGCTGAATTACACACTTTTTAATAAAAAAATCTTAATGCAGTGCATTTTCAACATGAATAAAATGCCAGTTACTGAGATGTGTCACTTTGCAACAGTTACTGGAGAAAGTAATAAACCTTAAGATTATACACTTTAAGAATTGTTGCATCGTTTTTGTTTTTTTTGGCTATATTGTTATGAATAACAAAGTGTCCCACTTTGCTCAGGTTACGCTATACGACCTTTGTGATCAAATATGTTTGAAGTTGAACGAATATGTAGAAAAGACAACATAATGTTTATTCTTTTCTTGTATTTTTAAAAAAAAATTGAGAAGGGACACTTCTTGGTCTATATACGTGTATGTTGGAATTATACTTTATAAATACCTGCAGGCTGTAAGTCATTCTTCCTCGAATCCAGGAGCTTAACTTTTTAAAACCGTTTTTCTCTGCCATTGAAAGCAAACTTCTACCATTCATATCCACAGTTCTCAGTAATGGTACATTTTCTGCACAATTGTGAAGAAGGTAAGCCAAAATCTCTGGTTTATCTTGGGTGCATGCAAGAAGTCCAGGTAAACCTAAAATAGGAATAAGCAGCTATGTAATTAACTTTGAACTATTTAATTAGCATGACTTTAGAAATGTATTGCCACATTTGTTCAAAACCTAGTTTTTAGAAAATAACAAAAATGACACAAACATGCAGACAATAATTCTTCAGGGTTTTTATCTAAAAATTTCTCTAAAGCTTTTTTTATCTAGCTACATGCTTCCTTTTGTAGTGAACACATACACCATTCAAATAAGCCAAGTTTTTTCCTCTTTGTGTAGGCGCTTGCTCTTAGCAAAAAAATTTTTAGAACACATCGTCTCGTCATTTTGATGGCCCTCGCCAGACATTTAATGCAGTCATTTTGCAAAATTAGTTTTAAATGCAACGATCGGGTTATAAGAGATTTTGGAAATACTAATACGCAAGATATCAGTTAAATTTACTAAAAGTAAAAAAGGCTATAGACGTGACACATCTATCGACAATTTTGCTAAAAAAAGACTGAACTGCAATTGGCTTGTCAGACAAATTATTGCGTGTTAAAATCATTTACCAATATTTAAAAACAATTTAAAATTATATCAGTAGCACTTAATTTGCATCATTGTTTAGAAAGTAGGAGAAACTATTTTTTATGACGCACCATAGTGGAAAAAAATACTTGTTCATGATAAATGATATTTAATTTAAAATATGTAAATCAATCATAAAATATAAACCAACTTTGAAATATACGCTGATCGTTGGCTCAATTTACCGCTGACTAGTTAAACCACTTATGCGTTTCGGGCTACGCACATGGCGAATGGCAAAGTATAGTTAGCATACTTTTATTGGTTGTTAGTTGGGAATCCGAAGTTTTTTTTATATGAACATGTCTGAATATTTGTTGAAAAGATTGATAAAAGCCGTTGAAGATGTTACATCAGTGAAAGCCAATCATTGTAGGACAATACCGAATGCAAGACAATTACACGAATTCTACTTCTTTGTACGTGTACATTTTGGGATAGTAGTTCTCAAGTAACAATTCTTTCCAAGAATTTGGTGAGTTTGCTAGTATCCCAGCCACTGTTCTATCAAGTTGTTCATAAGTTATGCTGGTATGACTGTTCGCACAAATAGACTTGTCAGACTCAGCACGACGACGACTCAATGTTTTCGTAGAAACTCCTAACATTGCAGCAATTTCTTTCCTTGAGAAATTTAAAAATAGAAGTCCAACTACTTGACTTTCAGGAATAAAGAACATGGGCCTTCCCCTTCCATTGTATCTCTTGGGGCGTGAAAGGAAACGATAGCCTTCATCTGGAACATTCTCAAGTCGTTCTTCAAATACATTACTCAATCGTCGCAGCTCAATGTTTATTCTGTATGTACAATCGGAAATTTCGCCGCTACAAAGAGGATGCGCTACTAAAACCGATAAACCATCTATGAACGCATCGCATAAAACAATTGCATAATAATTTTGAGCTGTGAAAAGATTTCTTTTCAGCTCAATAGAGACTTGTTTTCCAACAAAAAGATGCGCTAACAAATTGTCTAAGAAAACCATTTCTTCACCGTTCAACATGACAGTTTACAACAGTGGTTACAACAGATTTTTATCCATTCTTTAATGGCAGTGAAAAGAGTATATTTACAATGAAATAAGTAGCTAAGAATGATTTGATGATTATATTATGCGAGTGAAGGATTGTTGTGGTACTAAACACAACAGAAAGTATCATTGTCAACAAATTAGACAAAGGCTTAAACTCTAGTTGGCTAGCACTTTAATGGTTCATAATACGTGCTATTGGCATAAGCGATAAACTTGAAAAAGATTGACGATTTTTAATTCTGTTTCTTGAATTTTTTTTGAAGTACAGCATAATGTTGTAACGACCACGTTAATATCATTGTCATATAGTACAAGATTTGAAAAATGCATTTAACTTACCCAAAGGTCGTTCAGGAGCGCGCCAGTCCAAGGGTGCACCACACTCATGTAAAGTTTGCACTCGTTCTAGAGTCTCAGATTGCACAGCATTCCATAACTGCTCATGAAGTTTCTGCGTCAAAAACTGAACAATGTCTCGATAATAAAATCGAAAATTTTGCTGTTGTTGTCGCTTTATTTCAATACTGCTTAATTGTTCGTTTTCTAGCTTTAGAAGCTTTTCTTTTGCAAGATCAAGAGGTCTTTTCATTTTATTGTCAAAACAACGAATGTCAGCTCCCTCTGCGATTGCCTCTTTCAGCTGCAATTATTAAAAGAGCAAAATCAATACCAGAATATCTTATACATCAACACTTTTAAAAGCATAATAAATTATGGAACCTAAATCTTTAGATTAAAATTTTTTTGACTGAATGAATACAACTTCTTAGTTCTATTTTGTTTGTTTGTGCTATACCTCAGAACAAACATGCATCCAAAATGGTTTGTGTAAAGTTTTGCTTCACTGCCCCAGACAGACATGGCTTTACTCAAAAGTACATGGTAAGATATATATTGGAAAGATGGAAAAATTTTTCTTAACCGTTATAAATCTTGTATGATGCACTAATAATATTAACTTGGATGAACCAATTATTCTTATTGGAGTAGCATAACCTATTAGTAAATTGTATTGCACATGAAGCAATAAACTCTAATTAAAGCCAGGCACTTCTGGAGACAAATGGTTGGATTTCACATTTAGCAGCCAATTTAAGACGGTATTTGGTCTGGATTTAAAATTTAGTTATTAAGCGCATAAAAATGCGTTTAGAAATTGGCGATTGACCAAAAATTAACATATTGTACCAGCAAACCTAACTTTTACTCAACACTTGACTCTAAAGAAGACTACTGCTAAGGTTGTCGATACCTTAGTCAGTATCACCATCAACAGCCTTTCTCAGGACTTCTTAAGCTGGACGATATATACATCTACAAACTTGTTACCAGAGGCGTAGCTAGCAAATGAAAGTTGGGGAGGGCTGAAAATTTTGGGGAAAATTTCTTGTAAAAAATGATAATTTTCTTATAAAAAAGGACACTTTTTTATTTAGAATTTGAAAGTTGGAAAGGCACATGCCCCCGTGGCCTCTTTCTTACGCCACTGCATCTAACGATACTCCTGGGCTCAAGCAATTTACGGTTTCTACCCGTGAACAAAACGTGGTTAAAAGTCCTTTAATTAAACAGGCCTTGCGCATTAAAAATACTCATTCGAAAAACTATCCTGAGTCAAAATATGGTCCGTTTTGTACAAGCTATCTAAATTTCAAGCAATTTGGAGCCAGCACTGGCCCACGCGACAGTGGCGGATCCAGAGTACGTCAAAATGAATTACTGCAGCACATTTTTGCGTGTATTTCAATTTTTAAACACCTTATAGGCTAATCCATTCGTAAAATTATATTCTTTAGAAATTACAAAACCAATAGTGTTTTTCTGAAAGTAATTTGAATTTAAAATTGAGGAGCTCTAATTTATTTTGACGTACACTGGATCCGACACTGCGGCACGCGATATCTTGATAATCCTGATTTTTTTACGTTTTAATTTAAAATTTCAAATGAATTAAGAAAAGTTTTTTACTAATTCCGCCTGCGTCTTGTTTAACAGGGCTTTTTCCAATAGTGCACTTTTTTATGATACACCCTGTATTATAAGTTGAAACAATTTTAATTCATATCAAATATACCGTGCTAAAAAAATTTCTGGATAAATTTTGGATAAAAAGTCGTTTTCATTCTAGACATATTCAAAACTTCGCTACAGTGATTTAAATTTCCGTGTTTAATGGCCTGATGCAAACACTGGTCTTGACAAATCACAGCATACGTACGTTATTATTATTTCATTAGGAAATTCCTTATGTTCGAAAAACAGTTGCTCTAACGTTAGACATGCTGATGATGCCTGACACTTGGCAAAACAGCTCAACTATTTGACTGTCTATTTTCTAAAGTTATGCTATTGATTTATTTTAAAAGTCCTACAAAAGTCCTAAAAGTCTGCTATTGGTTGTCACTATCTCTTGGGAATCTATATGTTTTGCAAATGCTCAATGTCTTATCGTGTCTGTAGGTAGCACATAATTGGCAAAATTGAGCTGAAACAATTCAAGAAATTTTTTTATGGTCAGGATTTTCTTAAACACGCGTACATCGAGGGTAATCATTACATAACTACATCAATAAATGATGTCTTACCGGAACAGGTCTTCCTTCTTTTGCACTTTCAAGCAACTTTTTATTCACCTTCGGGTTGCCTTGCATCACCATTTGCAATTTTGCTGGAGGACTGAGATCGAAGGAAATAGGAGGGCGAAAAAAGTTGAAATTGGGACCAGCTTTCTTGTCTTTCTTATCTTCTTCCCAATCCGGAATGGCAGCAAAAAAGTCAAGTTGCTCGAAAAGGTACGCTATGTTTTTGTTAGGACATTCATGACCAAATTGTGCAATAGGAATACCACCTTGCTTATGATAAGGATCAGCACCGTGGTGGAGAAGAATTCGCACTTGGGGCTCATTATTATTTTTAATGGCAAACGACAAAGGGGTATTGCCATTTGTGTCAATTATATTCACCGATGCACTTTCTGAAATAAGATACTGAAGAGCTTCAGTTCGACCTGCAAACAAAAATAATATTGCCTTAAATAAATGCCAAGTAGTCAGCGGCGAAACTAGAACGTTAATTGGGGGAGGGGGTGTATATTCATAAATTCAGTTGTGCCTTACTGATTTCTTTTGAAATTCAAATCACTTTCAAAAGAAATCAGTAGGGCACAACAGAATATATGAATATGCACCCCAATTAACGTTCTACTTACGCCTCTGCAAGTAGTATAAACTTAGTGAATCTTGTAAGTAACAAAACCTCGTCGTCGTGTGTGAATAGCATAGAACTACGAAAATTTACTCCAATAACGCTTTGGATTTATTTTTCCCTTCATGCCAATGGTGAAAAATAACAAAGTTTTTAGTAGTTATAATTAGTTGATTAAAGTTGGTTTTAGGCATAAAATATTCGAAAATTTAAACATTTTAAACAATTTAGACATTTTTTCAGGATTTTCAATCATTTGTGTCGATGTTTCTGTGCTATAATTTATGCATTGCTTCTCTTTAATCGCTAGATTTTTCCTTTTTCAAAACTCCTTGCAAACGAAGGAAACGTAACAAATACAATCAAACTGAACCGTCTTTGTACTTCTCTTCTTGGCATATTACAAACGAGGACAAGTTGTACGAAATTAGTTTAATATTGTTTCTAAAAGCACAAATGCAGTGGTAAATGGCCAAAAATAATCTAGGAAGTCTAAAAAGAACTGTATTCAGCAGAAATCTAAGACACTATGCATTTTGGCAGACAACTTATTATATACAAACGCTAATTAAAGACACTAACTTCGAATAATGCAGTTTCCCTCCTAGAACACAAGTGACAAATCGCTGCTTGTTTATTTTAATATCATAGAAAGAAAACAGCTATTGAGCCAAAAACTGAAAAGAACATTTTTTGAGCTTATTAAAATTTCATCTATTAATAGAAAATGATGATTTAGAAAACACTCAGAGGTTGAAAAAAATGAAGTGGTCACTCTAATAGTATTATCAAATTTTCTATTTTCTATTTGTTTGAAAAGCTGTCAAAATCAATAATTTTTGTAGCTATATTACAAAATGTACACTTCCTCGGAAAATATTGAGACACATGGAAAACAGAACTCGCTATTTCCTTCAAAAGCAAATATTAAGTGCATAATATTGTGTAGTTTGTGAAATCTTTTGCAATAACTCTCAAAGCTGCTTTTTTTAAAAAGGACCAAAAACGTATTTTATAGTATGGTCCTCAAAATTTTAAATGTGATGCAGTTAATACAACCATCGTGCTAGCATTTCTCCGTTGTTGTTTTAAAAAAAATATTTTAACATACACAAAAGTTTAAGCTTGTAAAAGTTGGTAGCCTAAGTTACATTACACCAGCTTAATTTTTTGTAATATCGCTCAACACTTTATGGCATTCATAACAACTGAATTACCTGTCTGTACAGCCACGAAAATGGCTGTCTGTTCATCTACGCTCCTCGCATCAACATCAGCTTGTGAATCACAAAGTAATTTTAGCACCTTGATGTTGTTTTTGTGGGCAGCAAGAAATAGGGCAGTCCAGCCTGAAATGATTTAAAAATTTTCGGCATCGTCTTTTTCATTTTAAATTCAAGTAATATTGTGAAAGTTGTATTTTAACTGTGTAGTAACAAATGTTCACATGCAAAAACTTTTTGTGGCTTAATTGATATCAATTATGCTTAATTATATTGATTGATATGATAATGCTTGCTTTACAAAGTTGATTAAAGGTACAAAATATAACTCATTGCAATTTTATAGAAACGTACCTTCATATCCTTCAAGTTTGCATTTTTCATCAACAGATACACCACAATTCTGCAACATTTCCTTGATTTCTTCAAAGTTTTCGTCATCAACAGCTTTCCACAAGAGTTTTCCAAACTCTTCATTGATAAGTTCCACTGCACCCGGAAAACCATTTGCTTTGTAGAAATAAAAAGCAATAGTACCTTAGAACAAGCTGTCACGTCATACTACTATGATATTAACATTTCGTCATTATAGACATCTCTTTTTTACGTTGCTCATGTATATGTGATAGATAACGAGATCTTGTCGTTTAGACATGTATTTTATTTAATGCCCTTTATCTAGTATTTGCACGCGTCATTACCATAACTAATATTCCTCATGATAACTCAACAATAATAACTAAAAATTCTTTACAGTATGGTTGTGATTGTGGATGGTGAAATAAGAATATATAAATACGTGCCCACCCCCCTTCTCCATCAATTATCAATTTTTCTACAGAAAATGATTATAACTGTTTTAACAAGATATTTACCTTTAGCATACTCTAGCAGCATATTTTTCCCACGTTTAATGTTGACTCCAGCTTCAAACAAACATTTTAAAGTATCCGCATCACCATAAACAAGGCCCATTTCAACCGGACCAAGTCCGCGCTTATTAAGAATATTAGGATCGGCATGATACGTCTTGATAAGGTCAGTCAAAACGTCAGTAGAGCATTTATATTGAACGGCAAGTAACAGAATGCTGTTACCATCAGCATCCCTACTGTTAACCTACAACATAGAAAATATGGTAAAAAGTAATCAGGTAATATATACGACTTTTTTATTTTATTATTTTGAGACTTATATAGCAAGACCAAACAAGTGGATTGGCTATGCCCTTTCTTGTCGCAGTTTGTTTGGACTCATTTTGCCAGCATAATTCAATGATCAGAATCAGAACTCGACAAAGACTAAAATTTTCATGGCTTGCAAGTAAGATTTCAATCTTAAAAAATTGATGACCAATACCATTGTAATGAAAGTCTTTGAAGGTATTTGATAAAACATTATGGGATATATGCAAATATTTTTATGTTAAATTGGAAAAACATGAATGAAATTAGTTCAAAAAGAAAAAATGGCTAAAAAACTTGTGTTTTCACGAAAAAAATTGAGCTAGTTTAACCGTTTCTTAAATGTTTTTTCCAAAAGAGAAAAAATGAATGATTAGTTAAATTCTAAAGTATCTTCTATATATTACTTGATATAACTTTTACTGGTGATGCAATGAATTTGCATAGACGAGCTTATGCGAGATCACAAATTCTTTAAATATTATTGAAATCAAGTTGGTCGCTATATGTTTACACAAAGCAAATGCTTAAATTGTTTGATCTACTTAAGAGATTTTTAGTACTGGAGTTTACGTGAATTGATTTTTCATTTGAACAACAAACTGCGTTTGACTTCATACTAATATTTACCTGAACGCCTTTATCTAAGTAGCTACCAATGTCATTTGGATTTAACTTTGCGCCGTTGCTTCTTATGGCAGATCGTAGGTCCTTTACCAACCCGACTTTATCGAGCATGGCTGTTAATCGTACGTCTCTCTTACATAAATCCCGAGCAGTTTGACCTTGGGAGTTTACTTGCGAGATATCAGCACCATTACTTATCAAAATACTCACAACATCAAAACGTTTCTTATCGACAGCCACCATTAGTGCAGTTTGACCATCAGATCGCTTAAAACTTAAGTCAACAAAGTCCTGACCAAGTTTTAACAAATGTTGAACCCTAGGCAGGTTTCCAGCTTCCGATTCCCTGACAAGCACATAGCTAATGTGTTTCTTGAAAGCTTTTATACATTCGGTGTTATTGTGCCGTTGGGCTTCAGCAATCAAGCTTCCAATGTAAGTTTTGCCATCCTGTTGAATTGCTTCAACATACTGCTCGTTCATTTGATTGTTGCAGAGAAGAATAGTGACAATCTCTGCATTATCACTAGATGAAGACGCGGCACCAAACAAAAGTTTTCCATCTTGATAAAGATTTGCGTCCGCGCCTGCCAAAGCACGAACACGATTTACGTCCCCTTTTGTTACTTCTGTTAAAACCTGTTAAATCAACATAAGTTAGAAACATGAAGCAGCATATTTTAAAATCCTCGCAAATTGAGAACTAGCAACAAGTTTAAAAATTACCTAAAAATTTATTTATCTCTAGCTCTGTTACAACATTTCAACTAACATGAAACCATTAAAGTTGAATTTAGAATTTCTAGTAAATTACAGCAGAAAATATGCACCTATCATAAATCTACTGCAATTTTTTATGTTTTAAACGCCTTTTTGGTTTGAACACACTCTTTTAATTCTCATTTCTTTTTCAAACTTCCGTAACTAAAAATAGTGGAATTTGCATTCAAAATCTATTTCAGTCACTATTACCAGTCAATTTTCAATGACTAGGGAACTTTTTATTAAACAAAACAATGGCAGTAAAACTTCTAGCTGTCAAATATGATCAATTTATTATAGACATACCGATGTATTTAAGCTCAACTCAACAAGAGATCTTATCTGTTTGTAGCTGTAAAATTTTCCAATATCCCCACTTGACTGATTAGACATTTCGAGTTCGCGAGCCACGACCAACAGCGATTTGTTTTCTTTTTTGAACGTTATATCAGCACCAGTTTTGATCAATTTGTCAGTCTTTCTTACATCACCTTTAACAACTGCTTGCCACAGCTCGTTGGTTTTAAAACCACTTTTAAAGGGAACTAAAAAAGATGCATTATATCAATTATTTAATACCATATCAAAAATAACACATTTACTTGCTTTAAATGCAAGAAAAACAACAACCAAATCCCCTTGCTAACGTTATGACAAACTATATTAAAAGAAGCAAACGTGTTCAAAATGTTATTTCATGAAAGTATCCATTCTTTCAACGGTGTACACATTTCTAGCTAAAAATCTAAGGAAAAGAAAAGTTTACCCAATGTCCTAGGTATTTGAAGCAATTGATTGAATGCATGTGAAACCTTTCATTTCGAAATGATTCTAAACAATGATAATGGTCCGGAGAGCAGAAGGTCAAAAATGTGTGTTTACTCACCTTTTCAAGGAACTAATTCTTATGTTAATAATATTTTAGTTTAGCTAACTTTTGACAAAAATTCGAATGTTGTCTTTGCAAAAATTTCTTGCATGAACGTGTAAACATGGATTTTATTAACCGTACGCCATACGCTGAGAATATAAATGGCATGCAGCGTAAAAGAGCCGCAAATTTTTGACCTGAAAGTAATTAATTCCTCAATACTTCGTGAGTTCGTGTACTTTGTAGTTATTATCTATTTAACAATTAGTAAAGGAGCGAAGTGTTCCATACACGGAAAATTTTACTCATAGCAAATTACTAGCTTACATGAACTGAACAGAGAATGTTTTGTGTTTTATTGTATGGTGGGTGATCACCCGTCAAAATGTAACTACCGATTGTCGATGCTGTTTCAAATTTTATGTGCATCCCTGTTTTATCACTAGTCAGATTTTCTGTTGCGTCTGTAGTACAAAACACGATTTTCTAATGAATCAATTTTAGTTTGTCACAAAATAGGAAACGTAAAAAATCGGACTTCCACGCCGATTTTTTGATAAGTCTTATTTTGTGATGTCTGACCGATAGCACCTATCCTTTATTATCCCTAACAAATCTTATTTAACAACCTACAGGTTTTCTTGCAAGCAACATGGCGGACGCTAGTCGATCATTTCTACTGCTATAAATTTGCTTCGAGAGGCAACCGATATTCTGTCTTCTTCGGTTTCTCAATCAAGGTTGCCTTTCGAGAGTGTATCAAGCGAGTCAAAAGAGCAGCCATCGTTAAATACTCCATCAAATTTACGACGGAATGACCTTGTTTCAAATCTATTGTCCGGCAATGAAAGTTCACTGGTGTCTGCTCCACAACAACAAATACAGTGAAAACCAGCTGATTGTAGTAGTGATTTACATAAATTGAGTGCAACTACGAAAGATCGAGGACAGAAAGCTTTGACATTTTGGCAAACTTTAGAAGTCTTTTAGCTCCGTATCGGAACAATGTTTTTTAAGCAATTCATCTATAGATGAACTATAGTTTTTCAATATGGCAAAGAGCGTCTTGTCCATCCACATCACGACGTGCAAATCGACCTAGTCCATATTATCGGGTAAAGGAAACATGGTCACATGAATTTGTTTCTTTCGGAAATCCAGATCAAAAAACTGTTCCATCACGATTACAAAAGTTTGAGTTGCAATAAGCTGGGTTAGGAGGGAAAAAAATCGTGTTTGGAAACAATGATGGTGCTTCAAAACTAAAGAGTACTATCGAATCTTTTTATCTTAAGTTAAAATTTGGTAGGGGGTTCGAAATTCTTAGAAATGGATCCAACAACAATTTAGTTTTACTACCAGTGCCAACCACTGGATATTTAGTTCCATATCTTCGAGATTCTTCTGGATTGGGTCAAGCTTTCGCTTATATCCATCCAGTGCAAGTGTCTCTTGATTTATCACTAGTGCAAGCAGATGAGGTAAATAATTTGAAATGAATAATTACTGCATTAAACCATAGCAAACCAATACTATGATGGCTGTAACCATCTTATTTGCATGCCAGTAAATTTTATTTATTCAAGCAGAATACCAGATTTGACATTTTAAATTCTTGATGTTTAGTTTGTCGTACTTAGACACATCAAAGTGATTGTTATGACACACTGCTCATTTTATATCAATCTAATTACTGTTCTTAAAATAAGAGTTGCCATCTCATCTGCATGAATTGCATTAACTGCATGTATTTACATTTGTACCACGCAAGATGTAGTCCTTGTGAAAATTTGTATGACTTGGTGATTAATAATTAAATGCTGTGTACCTTAGGCCCCTAAAGTAAACTACTTCCATTGTGGGGATGAATTTAATTTGATAAATATAAGGAGTCATCGCGAGGTGTGTCATACTGACACTCAAAATGAAGTAGAAACAGAGCTGCCTACCACCTTCGGAAACACCAATAGATGGTGGTTTGCAATTAAGAAATAAAATATTTTTTACTGTGTTTGCGCGGGAGACCAGTGTTTCCACAAGCAAATTTATGAAATCGTTGTTTTGAACTCTGGAATTCCATATTTTCAACAAAAGATGCTTGCAAGAAATCTTTAAATTTTTCCGTAAATGTCCTTGCACCTCACAAGTTACAAATATTTAAATACGCAACAAAATACCTTCAACATGATTTTACGTATTTACGTAGATTTAGAAGTATTTATATCACACATGACAAAAGTAACAATAAAACTAACTAGCTAAATCGTGAGTACAGGAATTTCTTCTTTAAAAATTTAGCTTCTTCATCAGAAGCACTGGATTTCATTTTAGAAATCAGTTCCAGTGCGTCCTTCGTTAGTGTAATAGTTGTTGTATTAAATCTGCCATTCTTCATTGCCAACTTGCACTGTAACAGGGAAACCAATGATGACGATTTAAGACGTGACTGATGGTAAGTTTAATTCCTTTTAATAAACTGAATACCCTCTCTACAGCTGCCTTGGAGAAGGGAAAGGAAGCTACTATCTCCACAGACCTTGTCAGATTTGGATATTTCGGCTCCCTGATAGACAACTTAGCATTTTTCACAATCAGCAAATATTCCTCCCATGTATGGTCAGGGTTGAGCTTTTCTTAAAAAACATGCTCTCTCCATCTTCTGTCAAGCTTTTTAGCATCTAATAGAGTTTCAATGTATGGTAATTTCTTGATAACCATTGCTATAGGGAAGATGGATTACGCGCTTCTCCTTTTCTAGGTAAAATACAATGTACTACGTCATAAATTTCATTATCCAAATCTAATCTTCGTTTTATCTGTTCAATACTTTCGCTGAGAAAGTTCCTACAGTTGACCACACAGTTATACAAATCAACATCATCTTGGCTGATGTCTTTATTGATTTCATTGATGTTTGTCTTGGCTGCTACCCCAAGGTATACTCCAAGCAACGGTACATAGAAACCACTATTATTTGGATAATAATTTTGGGTTTGTGGCTTTGACATATTGGACATCCATAAATCAGCTGAACTAGACTTGATAAGTCCTTCAACTTCTTCTTTAAGTCTTTCCAAAATGGGCTTTTTGCTTCGAAAAAGACGTTTGAAAGCATTGTAGCGTTGAAGTTGGAAACTTAAGAATTCAAGATAAGCAAAGGTTTATTGACTGTACAATGCGATCGATAGCATGTGTGGGATCTTCAGTTGCAACAAGTGGAAAATAGTGTTTTAAAGCCACGTACTGTTCCGAAATGCGATTTACGCATGCTTCCTAAGAAAGGCAACGTGTTTGACTTGGCGAAAGTAATTTGAGCGGCTCGACACTAAAAACCTGTTGGAACTCCCTATAGGTTTCTTGTCTTTTTGATGAGCGACTAAAATATAAGAAAACATCACAACACAAATCTTCCAAACCATTCGGCAATTTCAGATCTGCTTGAGAAGATGCTAAATGAATCAAATGACACGAGCACTTAACAGTATGACACCTGGATATTCTTCCTTCAATAGTTGAGCAACTGAATTAAATTGTCCAAACAAAACATTTGTCGTATCTAAAAATAACCAATGATATTGTTTATTGGAGTGTGGAGATCAGGGAATGATTGCTTTACTGCAGAGTAGATACCTTTTGCAGTTCCATCTTCAACTTCATTTGAGTCAAGCAAAAACTGCTTCCGCTGAAAACTTTCTATGTCAAAATAGGTGGAAAGAATTGCAGCTGTTTGGCTGTGCTTTTATCTGTTGTTTCATCAATAAAAAGGCTAAACTGTCGAGAGCGCAATGTACATACAGCTTCCTTGAAATAATGAAATCCGAGGCTTGTCCTATCACATTCGTTGCTTTCTGTTTCCGAGGGTAACACTCTTAAGAGTGTTTTCAAGTGGGAAAAGTGATCTAAGTATTTCTAACATCTTTACAGACAAAGATATTGGTAAGTTATGTTCAGCAAGAAATGTGCATAATTTGAAGTTGTAGAACGATTGATGACAACTCAGCGAACACATGGCAACGCAACCGCGCTAAAATCCTGTTTACGTACGTCGTCTTCCATAGACGCGTCGTAGATCGTAAACTCACGTGTTAAAGTGACGCGTGATTTGGTAAAACAAGCGAAAAATCAAGAGAAAAATCCATGCAGATGGAAACATTGACGGGCTATTGCAAACTACGGAGACCTTTGGAAGAACTCGTAAGCAGACCAGTGCAAGCCCGGGACCGAAGGTTGAGGGTTGCACATGCTCGAGAGCTCTCACAAACGTCTCCGAAGTTTGCATAAGCCAGTGCAAACACAAAAAACGTCTTATATTTCTTTTATAAAATAACAATAATGCAAAAAAAGATAAAAATTTTAATTTTTCCTCCAAAATTTATTCATGATCGATTTGCATATTCTCTTTGACAGATTGATTGTTTTGATTGATTTGATTGATTAAGCTCAGATGTGTTTTGCACAGGGTAATGCAAACACGGCTCCAGACCAATCGGTGCAAGCGTTTCATAGTTTTTATTTTATAATCCCCAGTAAGTGTGTCTCGTGCTCCGCCTATGAGGTCCATTAGTCTAGACTTTTGGTAGAAATAACCCATGTGCGGGTAAAAGGGAGGGTAGAAAGTGTCAATCATGTTGTTATTGTAGGGCTACTAAGAATGAGATGTTGTTGTTGACGAAAAAATACATTATTATTATTGCTGTTAAAACAGTTTTGTTGTGAGTTACTTAAGGGAAGCAAGGTAATTCCCAACAACTGGCACCTCCGACGGGATTCTTGCGAAGTAGTGAGTATGGCGGCGAATTTGCGAGTTAAATTAACACAACACCGTATTACAATGGAAAGAACAAACAACATTTTTGATTCAAACCGATGAGAGACTATCGAGAGGCATTGTACAGCATTAAAAACGATCACAAACAGTGTTAATGAAATAAGATTAACTGTCGAAGAGAGTAAAGTCAAAACGAATGAGGACATAGCGGAGATAACGAAATGGAACAAAGAATTCGATGAGAAATTAACTGACGCGGATAAAGAGATTGAGAGATTGCAAAAGTGGCTCAAACGAAGTAAGCAAGAAGAAGAAAAGATCTTAAGAGAAGAACAGTTTACTCGTGAAGCGAAATTACACGAAATGAAGATGAAATATCAGAAGAATTGTCTAGCGCTAAAAATGTCAAAGGATGGTCCAGAATTGATAAAACGGGCGAATCGGGTGAATCTCAAATTACTGCAAAATTGCAAAAGCTGGTCATTTCGAAGTATATGGGAATCTATAAGGATTGGCCATAATTTTGGGGGCAATTTCCCGAAACTATCGACAGAACTAATATTGCACAAATAACGAAGTTCACTTATCTGTGTGAATTACTTGACCCGAAGATAAAATCAGTTGTGGACTCATTACCATTCACTTCGGAAGGGTATAACAGAAAACAGCAATTTTAGAAGAACGATTTGGCAAGGAATCAGAAATTGTTAAGTCCTATATTGAAGAGATTATGGAGTTGCCTTACATTACAAATGCAAACCCAAAGAACATTGGTGAATTTTCTGAAAAGCTTAATAACTGCATGTAAGCCCTGCAGACCACGGGGAAAATAAGTCAAGTCGATGGAAATGTATCTATGACGCTAGATAAGCTACCAGCAATTAGGGGAGATCTTGTCCGAACTGACCCTAATTGGGAAAGGTGGAATTTCGCTCAGCTGTCTGAAGCCGTTCGACAATGGACAAGACGAAATCCAGTTGATCCAAGCCGAGAAAGGCCTCAATCTGATCGTTCAACAAAATCCTTTTATCTCACACATCATGCGTTTGTTTACTGTGGTGATACAAGTCACCAAGCATCAACCTGCAGCAAGGTAATCGATGTTGGGGAGAGAAAACAAATCCTAAAGAAGAAAAGTTGTTTTTCAATTGTGCCATCGGAAGTCATAGGACGGCAGATTGTCTGAGTAAATCTACTTGCCAACATTATGGAAGAAGGCACCACAGCTCAATTTGCGACTCACAGAAAAAGAAATAAAGGAAAAAGCGTTGACAACTAATCATTCATCAGAAAGAATACTTCCAGCTCTAATCAGTAAAGTGAATGGTGTAAAATGTCGGGCGTTAATCGATTCTTGATCAAGCAGTTCGTACATTTCAGCCAAGCTTGTTGACATGTTGAAAGTGAAACCTGTATGCACCCAGACAAAGCAAGTAGAAATGTTAATGTCATCAAAGCGAGTTCCAATAGCAATGTACAAACTCTAGACAGAATCAGTACATGGAAGTTTCGAAATGTCTGTGAATTTCTACAAAGTGGATAAACCTGAGCTGCTTCTGATTTATAATCTTAATTATGCCAAACTGATCTGAGATAATGAACATCCAGCTAAAGTTGACACTATCGACAGCGATGAAAAGAATCAGCTTCCAGTCATGTCATTAGCGGAAGTGGGAAATATTCTCGAATCAAGAGTCGATCCAAGCCTCGAGTCGGCAAAGACGGCGAACCAGTAGCAGAGCTTACGAAGATAGGCTGGTTTTAGTGCAGCAGTTATGTGCTAAAAGTGTTCGTTTTCTGTTAAAAGCACCAAAATTTGTATAGAGAAAGTTTTTGTGGTGATGATCGAAATTTGATATAGTGCAATCTCAAAATTCCATGTGTAGTACTTTTTCGAGGATGTTCTTAAAATGGCAGCCACGTTGAACCGGAAGTAAAAAATTTTGGTGAAAATTATGAAAGAGCATTTTGGAAAATGTCAAACAAATCCTTCATAAGCTTATCGATCAGATTAGTTATTACAATCATATTGCTAGTTTAATCACAAAATAGGCGCTGACTAGATTCATTAAACTAGAAGTTGCTTGTATACTACGTTTGGTTCCTGCACAGTACAGGAATATACAGTAGGGCCACTTCGCTGTGCAACTGGCTGCTGTATATTTAATTAGTTTACTGGCTGCCGTTTGCCATGTCGTCAATCCTATTGGTAATAAATTGCAATTTACTGGCTGCGTAATGACATGCGTAATAAGATATGAGTGGCATGAAAAAATTCAATGGCCTATTGTATGTTCTCTATACTGTGGTTCCTGTCTAAAAATTCTTTTATTACATGCAGTTAGAATTAACAATGAGGTAACTACAATTAGTGTATTAACTGACTAATTTGACCTCAAAGAGAACATGACTGAGCTGCAGGTGAACTCTGGACAAAATCGTTTTCCGTATTTCTTATTAAATATTAATCCTGAACATTCGAATTTTGAAACTGTTCTGTGTCTTTACAGTGTCTTCTTCTTTTGCAATTATTTCCAGTTTTTTCCAAACGCATACAACCAATGGACAAATCCACAATGCTTAAATAATCGTTTTAATCTGTCGTCACAATCTTCTGACATTTGCAGAAAGCTATACAACTCAAACTGTCCTCGTACCATCCACAACGTCCATGACAACCACTTTTGCAACCTCACCTGACCAACTGCTGACATGACTTCGTTATTTCTTGCAATTTTGTCCAAAAAGGCCGATATCCATTCCCACTCTTACGGACGTAGAGGGGAAGGACTTTGCACAAGCGCCTGTTCCCATACGTGACCAGCCTGGTAGATTGTACGCTTAACATGCTAAACTAATGCTGTTTTTGTTGGTGGGAGAGCATCAAACTGTCGTCCCTTGCAAGTAAGCAACTGCTTATGAGCTTCGTTGGCTGTGGTTGCGACGCTCATTCGGTCGTACAACAACACAGTATACCACTCCAAAACTGACATCCACTCATCAAAGACTTCTGAGGGCGCAATGCTCCTGGCTAGAAAGAAAGCAGTAACATCATTATAAATATTGCACGTATCCAAGGCAGTTTTCTCGCCCTTACCGAAGAAACAAGAAGCAGTGTCGCCTCCAGTGAAAGCATGAAAAGCGAGAAGAGCAAGGGCGCTATCGGAACCGAAAACTTTAGCTATTTCATGAGCTGCTATATAACGTAGATGTATGCTTGTCCCAAGTGCTACTCATAGTTCAATATCATTACTTGTTAGCTCTTGTAGTTGGTGGTGTAGAGATACTGCCAGAACACCTGTATGGACAGTGCGCTCTGTGATTCTAGTGAAAACACACGGGATAGCATCTGGCACCCGAAGAAACATTCTTGCGTCGGCTTCTTCTTGGTTACATGGAGCTAAACTTGATGTTTCCTAGAGTTGATAATTGCTTATAACTTGTTGACAGTTCTGGCTTGTTTTGGTCAACACGAGAAAATCTTTCCAGCTTTTTGGAAGGGGGTTATTCGGTGCAAAGCATTGTCTAACTCCAGTACCGCGAAGACTTCGAGTTGTGGCTTTCAGGCTGTTCTCAATGTATGCATCTCACACAATGTCAACACGCTTCACATATCGAAGATGAGCAGACACATAGGGGACAAACGTAGATGTAGCGTAATCTGAGAATGTTCCTTCCTTTTCTGTAGGCTTCAAAAATTTGACTACAGCAGGTAGGTCCAAAATTGCCATTTCATTATTGGCTGGAGGAATACCCTTTAGGGTGGTGATCGAGGGCCTGCAGACACTTTGCAAGCTCAGACTTTTCTTATGGCAAACGTAAAATTCCTTCGTGAGACAGGGAAACTGGACAGCTTTGATTCTCATGCCTGAAAAACTTGTCCAGGTGGCCATTTCTAGTTTGACAGGTTATGAAAAGTCGAGAGAAGAGAGAACAATCACTTTTCATAGAGGAGAACTTTTGGTTAATTCTAGATTTCTTTTATTTTGATGTGATTGAGAAAAAGTCTAACTTGTTTCTGGCAATAGGTTCATTAAGTAAGGAAATTCTTATAAAAAGTCTGTTTTACGTGCTCGTTGACAAGCAAGATGGCGAAATTGTTCTTTTGAGTCTTTTATTTCCGGTTTTGTGAGAAAATTGAAAACCATTTATATTTAAATTAAACTTTATACTTTTTATGATACCATACAACTTATACAATATTATAAATTTGTTTCGTGCCGTATTTATTTTCGTGTTTATTTTTCGCTTATACGGCTGTAACGATAGTTTTTAATTTTTACTTCCGGTGTACAAGGTGGTCCTTTTAATAAATCGCCTTGTTAACCTAAATTTCTGCAATGGCACTATATCAGAAATTTATCAACACGACTTGATCTACCTTTCCTGAAAATTTGGTTCTTTTAACAGTAAGTAAACACTTTGACCCAGAATCGACACGTATCTGCATTACTATTTATAATGAGCACAAGGTGGTCCTTTTAATAAATTGCCTTGTTAACCTAAATTTCTGCAAAGGCACTATATCAGAAATTTATCAACACGACTTGATCTACCTTTCCTGAAAATTTGGTTCTTTTAACAGTAAGTAAACACTTTGACCCAGAATCGACACGTATCTGCATTACTATTTATAATGAGCACTGGTGCCAAGTTCATTCGACAAACGATGCTCCTAACACAAACTACACAATATGATTACGAGGAATTATGCCGTATAAATGTATTGGGACTTGCAGATACGTCAGAAAACGACCAAACCATCGTTCAAGGAATTCAAGGAGCAATTACTTCGTAATGAGGAAGGATGGTATGGAACTGGTTTACCGTGGCGAGGAAACCACCCAAAGTTACCCATTGAGTTCTATGATAACTGGAGCGGCTAAGTGGACCGGGACCTGACGCCAAAAAAATGGCGGCCAAAGGACCTATTTCCGCTGAAATGATCGCTTTGCAGAAAAAATATATTCTCGACCTCCCCCTGATGTCCATAGCTAATTTTACAGCATTTTTCAAAAACAAACACGATATCTTTTTTTGGCATTTCTTTTAAAATGCCAACACTTCAATCATTCAATTGTTGGATATCGTAGTGTCCACAAAAAGGAGCATGTCGCTTTCACAGGTGAGATATTTGTTTTTTGTTCATCAAAAATTGAAAAGCAATTGAACTTGAAGCCTGAGCGATAAAGTCCGACTGGTGTTTTCCTGTTTTTGTTTTTAAATAACAACATACTTTTCCACTTATTTGTTAATGTGTGAAACCGTAAATCTGTTTGCAAAACAGTTTCCCTGACGCAAAAAAAGATTGTGCTCTTTTTACTCAGTGGGCAGATGCTATGAAGAAATGATCACCCTCAAAGAGAACCCATGAAGTAGAGCAGAGTTTGTTCTGATCAATTTGCTGAAAACATGAAGAGATGATCGGATAGCAAAATGTTTCTGGAATATGCTGTAGTACCACTATTTCATCGATCACTTTATTAAGAAGACAATTAGAAGATGCTATTGACCAGACAGAGTCTAAATGCAAAATGCTAAGGCTGAATACAAACAAAGGTAAATGATTCACAGACTTCCCTGTCCAACAGTTATTTGAACTTGGACTAATTCTATGGATGGAGATAATGGATTTAGTAAAGATGCCTTGAATGCTTTGAAAGTAAAGGTCAAGTACCAAATAAAGATAGCAAGGTTATGTGTGTCTTGATGCTTGATGAAATGTCATGTAAAAAGGTCATAAAGTTTGTGCTTATGTCAATATTGATATTGAGATATGATGACTTACTGCAACTGTACAATCCATGCAGTGTGTTTTGTATAACTAAATTGTAACATCATGTCACATCTTTATTAAATTATTTTAGTAGAATGTTGTTCGAATTTAACTTATATGCAATGCATTCCATATTGAAACATAAAAGATTCAGTAATGAAAACTCAGTGCTATATATTTCTTCTTAATTTCAGTTTTAGCTGAAAAAATATTTTAAGCTTATTTACCTAGTAAAGTTCAGAATGGACATTTCCATATGCATTATTTTCTGCTTTATTAAACCAGTGAAATGTTTTGACTTTTCCAAGTTTTTCTTCGATTTTTTGCTTCTTAATTCATTTCATAATATGAATGAAATACAGGTAGTACAATTTAATAACTCTATAATTTCTGAAAAGCTGTTATGCTTCTAGCATTAAAGAACACAAAATGTGTTTAATTCATCTGGTTTTATTGCCTTATTCTTACATGTGTACATGCACTTCATCATTCTTGTATAAATAACACCAGATGTTGCATACTTAATGGAACAAGTCCTCCATTATTTTTCGTCAGCCGCTAATTAAAGCCGTGTTTGAGATAGCCGCTCCAGTTATTATAGAACTCAATGGAGTTAACCAACAATAAACAAGGAAGTCTATCACGTCTTGAAAATTTAATGAAAAAATTACAGCTTAAAGGACAGTTACCAGCATATAGTAAGATTATTCAAGACCAACTCGAAGACAATAACGTCGAGAAAGCCCCGCAAGAAATCGTAGGAAAGGAATTTTACATTCCTCATAAAGCAGTGGTGCGTGAGTCAGCTGCAATTACGAAGATGCGAATAGTATGATGCCTCGGCGCGGGCACATGCAGACGCCCCTTCACTAATGAATGCCTTAATCCAGGACCACCACTTCGAAACCGCTAGTAGGATGTTTTAATACGTCAGCGGGCCTATCCAGCTGCTGTGTCTGGAGTTACACCTCAAGCGTTCTTGTAAATTAGAATTAAAGAGAGTGAGCGGGATTCCTTGAGGCTCCATTGGATATCAACTGAAGAAAATAAAATTATCACATATCGGTTTACTCGTGCACTTTTTGGTCTAACGCCCTCTCCATTTTTATCGAATGGTGTGTTAGTAGCTCACTTAGATTCGTGGGACAAGAAACGACCTAAAGTTGTGGCTGGTTACGCTAAAGCCTATATGTTCATTATATGGTTAGCGGAGGGCAAACCATTGAACAGGCAGTGCGGACCAAACAGGAATCGATGGACATTTTACAGGATGCCAAATTCCAACTTCACAAATGGAATTCCAACAATCCAGAGTTGGGAGAAAACGCAGGTGCTGTTCCAGAAAACGACATACAAATGTACGCGAAGCAACAATTCGATGTTAAAGCAGAAGGGTCAAAGATACTTGGACTTAAGCGGGGCAAGCATATAGATATGTTCATCATGATTCTTCCAGTCGAGAAGGTTCCATAAACGAAACGTGGAATTCTCGGAAAACTATCCAGGATGTATGATTCTGTAAGAATTGTTGCGCCCTTCACACTGACCGGCAAACAAATTTATCGAAATGTTTGTGAGTCAAAATTATCATGATGTGCGCCACTGCAAAGCAACATTCTTCAAGTTTGATCGAATTCGAAATTCCGCATTCCATTGTGCGATACGAAGAAGCTATCCAAGAAGGCGAACTACGATTTTGGGGATGCGTCTGGTGAGGAAATTGGAGCGGTAGTTTATTCAGTGATTAAACAACGTTCGGGTACCACCCGACAGCTTGTAGCAGCAAAACGTCGTCTTGCAAAAAGTGGTTAGACAATACCTAGGTTAGAATTTATAGGTGCGCACATGGCCATTAATTTGCTGGTGAACGTACATAACGCTCTAAACAACGGAACCACACCTCAACTTTATGGATGGATAGGTAGTATGGTTGCAGCATTGCATTGGATTAAAGGGAATGAGCAGTACAAGCAGTTTGTAGTAAATCAAGTTCAGCTTCGGCGTGCGTTGAAAGTCTGTGTGTGGATACGGCGGTTTGTCCATAATTGGAGAAATAACCTAAAGTTACTTGGTCCAATCAAGACAAAAGAAATAGAGCGTGAGCGCATTTGGTGGAATAACAGAATTCAAGAAAGCCATCGTAAGGAAGAGAACTATACAAAGGTCAAGGCCGAGCTTGGTTTACAATTAAATGAGCACAATATTGAAATCTGTCATGGTCGGATACAAGGAAAGTATCCAATATATCTTCCAAGAAAAGCAATGTTCCCTAAGAAGTTGGTGAAAGAGTGCATTACGACACACTCCACGGGGGAGTTGGGTTGACTATGGCAGCCATTCTCGAGACGTATTGGATCCCGAAGCTGCGTAGTTTATTCAAAGCAGTTCGTAGAAATTGTAACGGTATCGTGTTACAGAATTTGCGAAGCCATCTCCCGGGAAACTCTCTTTAGATCATTCAATTGGCGCAGCATTCGAGATAGTTGGCATATATTTCGCTGGTCCAATAAGATACAAGCAAGCACTCAAAAAAGAAGAAAAGGCCTATTTAGCTAAATTCACATGCAGCCTTTCACGAGCTGTGTATCTGGATCTCGTGCAAAATATGGAGATGGGACATTTATTATCAGCTTTAAACAATACATCGCAAGACGTGGAAGACGTTGTGTATTCAGATAATGGTGGAACGCATGTAAAAACTGCAAAATGGATTTCAAATTTAGGACGAGATGAAAAACTTCAAGGTTCATTGAAACAGTATTAGATCGTTTGGAAATTAAACTTAAGTCGTACCCCGTGGTGGGGAGGACAGTTTGAAAAGCTCATTGCAGTAGTGAAATCAGCTATGTTTTAAGTAATTGGCGGTGCAAACTTAACCTGGATAGAGTTAAGCGAAGTAATGCTCGACAACGAAACGCAAATAAACAGGCGCCCAATAAGCTATGTTGAATATGATGTGGAGTTACCTACATTAACTCCAGAATCCTTTGTTCATCAAAGAACTAACCTACTACTTGAACAAGATGCATGTAAAACAATGAAAAAATTAAAGATATTGGGTTAAGAAAGCGTGCAAAGTTCTAAAAACCTGCAAGGAAGGATTATGGCGTAGAAGGCAACGTGAGTACCTCACAGCTCTAAGAGAAAGGCTCAATCTAACACATAAAGTAAGTAAACCCCACCCAAAGGAACGTGATGTTGTCGTTGTTAAATCCGATAGCAAGAATCGTGGAACTTGGCAGTTAGCAGTGGTGAGAAAGACCTACCCTGGGCGAAATGGAATTATAATAGCAGTGGAGCTAAAGGTCGCAAATGGTGTCATCGAGCGTTCAGTTCAATATTTATACCCACTCGAGCTGGATTGTGATAGTACGACAGAGTCGCCAAAACCGAAGTTGCTAAAACCAGAAGCCCCTCAGTTTCGTCCAAAGAGGGATGCCGCAGAGGCAGCCAGAATGAGGATCAAACAAACTGAAATGATGGACGAAAACGACATGTCACTCAATTCAGAAAAACTTGAACATTAAAAGCTTGAACGCTGTACTATTACTATATACATAAATGTTGTGTTATAACTTTGCTATAACATATGCATCTATAATAGAATGTGTCTATGTGCCGAACAATGTGTCTATCAAAATCGTGTTTATATTGTTAATAGCGCCCACCATGTTACCTGCAAAAAAGCGGTAGGTAAATAGAACTTGTTAGGTATAATAATGGATAGGTGCCATCGGTCAGATATCACAAAATAGCACTTGTCAAAAAATCGACATAGAAGTCCGATTTTCTACGTTTCCTATTTTGTGACAAACTAAGATTGATACACTTGAAAAAGATGTTTTGTACTACAGACGAAACAGAAAATCGGACTCTTCATAAAACAGGGATGCACATAAATTTTGAAACTGCATCGAAAATCGGTAGTTACATTTTGACGGTGATCACACACCATATTATTGTGAGGTTAATTTGAATTGAAATCGAAAAAAAATCATTATAAAACAGAACATCATGAAACCGAAAAAAGTAATAGTTTTACTTTTAAAGTCTTACGTCAAAATATATCCCCATTTTTTGTTCAAAGTTACATTTTGCTCTAGTCTAGATGCGTACAGCAGGTAGCTTCTTTAGCAGAATATTTAATTCATAAAAGTCCAAGGAATTATGCATTCGTTAATTGTGTTTTGAATAGTACAAACATTATAACGCAAAAGATATATTTTGTTGTTCACATTACAGCAGAAGCAGTAGAGAAACTTAAAAAAGATCTGGTACTTATACAAATATATCTTCTCGGAACTCTTTCAAAAATTGCCAATTTTTTTCTAAAGAAAGCTGTGCAATTTCCCTAGAAATTTCAAGTCAATAAGATTTGTCCAACTATACTCTTGTCAATCGACTCTTGCACATTAACTAAACATGTTTTGACGGCCAGTTGAGTTGAAAGCAATGAGAGTATCCTCGATCCGTAAACTCATATTTTTCTTATACCACTTTTAAAAAAGCTGCTCAGCGCAAACACATACTAAAGTATACATTTGGAAATAAACAGCATCATTGACTGCAAAGAACATGGCTTAATGCTTTTTGCCGTTGATAAATTGTATTTTGTAGTAAGCAGCACGGAAGTAACTACGCCAAACTCTTGACCTGCAGAATCATTACTATAAGGTTTTAATAAGCATCAAGCCTCTTGTTTTAATTTAATGAATCTTCGCTGTTTTGGTTTCATATCCGATATTTTAATTCGTTCTTACGTCAAAAAGTATTTCCATTTGTTCAAAGTTGCATTTTGCTCTAGTCTAGATGCGTACAGCAGGTAGCGTCTTTAGAAGAATATTTAATTCATAATAGTCCTAGGAATTATGTATTCGTTATTTGTGTCTAGCATTGTACAAATATTATAACGCAAAGATATATTTTATTGTTAAGATGACAGCAGAAGCAGTAGAGAAACATCTTTCAAAGTACATAAAACAAACTACAAAATTCAAGACTGTGGCACTCATCTATGTTTCATCGAATTAAAGTGAACAGATTAATATGAGCATCTCCTGATTCTTAGAACGCATAACTTTATGGTGTGATAGACTTCCATAGAACTTAAAAAAGATCTGGTGCTTATACAAATATTTCTTCTCGGAACTCTTTCAAAAATTGCTAATTTTTGTCTAAAGAAAGCTGTGCAATTTCCCTAGAAATTTCAAGTCAATAAGATTTGTCCAACTATACTCTTGTCAATCGACTCTTGCACATTAACTAAACTTGTTTTGACGGCCAGTTGAGTTGAAAGCAATGAGAGTATCCTCGATCCGTCAACTCATATTTTTCTTATACCACTTTTAAAAAAGCTGCTCAGCGCAAACACATACTAAAGTATACATTTGGAAATAAACAGCATCATTGACTGAAAAGAACATGGCTTAATGCTTTTTGCCGTTGATAAATTGTATTTTGTAGTAAGCAGCACGGAAGTAACTACGCCAAACTCTTGACCTGCAGAATCATTACTATAAGGTTTTAATAAGCATCAAGCCTCTTCTTTTAATTTAATGAATCTTCGCTGTTTTGGTTTCATATCCGAGATTTTAATTCGTTCTTACGTCAAAAAGTATTTCCATTTGTTCAAAGTTACATTTTTCTCTAGTCTAGATGCGTACAGCAGGTAGCGTCTTTAGAAGAATATTTAGTTTATAATAGTCCTAGGAATTATGCATTCGTTATTTGTGTCTAGCATTGTACAAACATTATAACGCAAAGATATATTTTATTGTTGAGATGACAGCAGAAGCAGTAGAGAAACATCTTTCAAAGTACATAAAACAACCTACAAAATTCAAGACTGTGGAACTCATCTATGTTTCATCGAATTAAAGTGAACAGATTAATATGAGCATCTCCTGACTCTTAGAACGCATAACTTTATGGTGTGATAGACCTCCATAGAACTTAAAAAAGATCTGGTACTTATGCAAATATATCTTCTCGGAACTCTTTCAAAAATTGCTAATTTTTTTTCGAAAGAAAGCTCTGCAATTTCCCTAGAAATTTCAAGTCAATAAGATTTGTCCAACTATACTCTTGTCAATCGAGTCTTGAACATTAACAAAAATTGTTTTGACGGCAAATTGAGTTGAAAGCAATGAGACTATCTTCGATTCTTCAACTCATATTGTTCTCATACCACTTTAAAAAAGCTGCTCAGCGCAACACATACTAAAGTATACATTTGGAAATAAACAGCATCATTGACTGAAAAGAACATGGCTTAATGCTTTTTGCCGTTGATAAATTGTATTTTGTAATAAGCAAAACGGAAGTAACTACGCCAAACTCTTGACCTGTAAAATCATTACTATAAGGTTTTAATAAGCATCAAGCCTCTTGTTTTAATTTAATGAATCTTCGCTGTTTTGGTTTCATATCAGATATTTTAATTCGTTCTTACGTCAAATTTGTTCAAAGTTACATTTTTCTCTAGTCTAGATGCGTACAGCAGGTAGCGTCTTTAGAAGAATATTTAATTCATAATAGTCCTAGGAATTATGTATTCGTTATTTGTGTCTAGCATTGTACAAATATTATAACGCAAAGATATATTTTATTGTTAAGATGACAGCAGAAGCAGTAGAGAAACATCTTTCAAAGTACATAAAACAAACTACAAAATTCAAGACTGTGGAACTCATCTATGTTTCATCGAATTAAAGTGAACAGATTAATATGAGCATCTCCTGATTCTTAGAACGCATAACTTTATGGTGTGATAGACCTCCATAGAACTTAAAAAAGATCTGGTACTTATACAAATATATCTTCTCGGAACTCTTTCAAAAATTGCTAATTTTTTTCTAAAGAAAGCTCTGCAATTTCCTAGAAATTTCAAGTCAATAAGATTTGTCCAACTATACTCTTGTCAATCGACTCTTGCACATTAACTAAACTTGTTTTGACGGCAAATTGAGTTAAAAGCAATGAGACTATCTTCGATTCTTCAACCCATATTGTTCTCATACCACTTTAAAAAAGCTGCTCAGCGCAAACACATACTAAAGTATACATTTGGAAATAAACAGCATCATTGACTGAAAAGAACATGGCTTAATGCTTTTTGCCGTTGATAAATTGTATTTTGTAGTAAGCAACACGGAAGTAACTACGCCAAACTCTTGACCTGCAGAATCATTACTATAAGGTCTTAAAAAGCATCAAGCCTCTTGTTTTAATTTAATGAATCTTCGCTGTTTTGGTTTCATATCCGATATTTTAATTCGTTCTTACGTCAAAATATATCGCCATTTTTTGTTCAAAGTTACATTTTGCTCTAGTCTAGATGCGTACAGCAGGTAGCGTCTTTAGAAGAATATTTAATTCATAATAGTCCTAGGAATTATGCATTCGTTAATTGTGTTTTGCATAGTACAAACATTATAACGCAAACGATATATTTTACTGATGAGACAATAGAGAAACATCTTTCGTTGGGGCACACTGTTCAATATTAAGCATAATGCAGGACATTTCATGATCTTTCAGTAATACTGACCTTCCGAAGACATTTCACCGATGGAAAGCTCTTTTATTCGTATACCACTGTCTTCTCTTAGTTTGAAATTTCAATTCCAGATCTTATTCTCTTCAAGAGTTTAATGTAAATTGCTCAACAGCGCGATCTGTGCACTCGACTGTTGTGGAGTTGCAATGCTGAATAACTAAGCGTTGTGCTTAACAGTTATTCATGATGTCGGAAATACGTCATTGTAAAACATGACACTAACCTAGAAAAAGAAATTACAAACTTACTTTCAAAATTCAAACTGTCTGCTGTTAATTGCTTTAACTAATGGTGGACCCCCTCCCTCTGCTTTTTGCTTTTATGTATGGATATTATGTATTATAATTTACGGTATTATGATTTTATGGAATCAAAGCTACTATATTGTTAAGTAGTCGTTCATTAAAAGAAAAAATAATTTTTTCAGCCAGAACATTGTGTTCTTTCTACAGGTACAAATTTAATGTGAACAGCAAACTTATATACTAAACTTAGGTTATACCACTGTTATCACATCATAGTAGTGGAATTTTAATTGTTCTTGATGAGATGTGATAAGAGCATGCAGTGTTTCTTTGTGATATTGATAAAAATCTTTCGGTAATGATCAAGATTTGTTATCTGTGTCTCATAGTTGTTTTGTGAGCTAGGATTCCAGGGTTTTTTTGTCTGAACTTTCCATTATTAGTTATTTCACACTTTTAGTGCAAAGTTTGCATGGGAGCTTTGTAGTATTGTGTTGAGTGGCTAAAATTCACCAGAGTCAGTCAGTCAGTCAGTCAGTCATAGTGTAAACTTTCCGGGGGTCATAGTGTAAACTTTCCTATCTAGCAATAACGCTCATTTTATGTTTAATGATTTTTTAAAGATTTATTATTCCGTTTTTTAGCGATTATTAAGAGAGAATTTAACATCGACTTCAACTCAGTTTAACTAAGACATTTATTTAAATGTTTCATACTAAACTAACAATTTATATTATAAACCTCTTTCGTTAAAGAAATATCTAAATGTATGGAATGCCACAGCTGTCTTATGCCATGATATTTTGTTACGTCTTGTTAATTCATCATTAAATGCGGTCCATTCGTCATTATATGCAGTGATCTTTTCATTATATGCGGTCCATCCATCATTATTTGCAGTGATACTTTCGTTATATGCAGTCCATCTGTCATTATATGCGGTCCATTCCTCATTATATGCAGTGATATTTTTCTTATATGCGGTCCATTTGTCATTATATGTAATGCACTTTTCATTATACCTTAACTTATTATGTGGTTATTTGTTATGTGGTTATTTCATTATGTGGTTATTTCGTTATGTAGTAATTTCGTTATGTAGTAATTTCGTTATGTGGTAATTTCGTTATGTGGTAATTTCGTTATGTGGTAATTTCGTTATGTGGTAATTTCGTTATGTGGTTATTTCGTTATGTGGTTATTTCGTTAAGTGGTAATTTCGTTATGTGGTAATTTCGTTATGTGTTAATTTCGTTATGTGGTAATTTTGTTATGTGGTTATTTCATTATGTGGTAATTTTTATTTTTTCGTTATGTGATGTCTAACATGAAGTACCTTCAATTAACTAAAACACAGGCTCAAATTGAACCATTTGTAATTTGTAACAAACGATTTGTTCAACACGTTGAATAGTCAAATAGTCAATAGGCAATAGTATTTGTGTCGTGCGTCATTTTTGCCAGATATAATGGATAAAATATTAGAAAAGGCAGGTCTCTTGAGTTTGTTTGAGAGATTTAATGAAGAAAGGATTGAGCCTGACGTAGTTTTAGCTATGACCAATGCAGAGTTAATCCGACTTGGCGTAACTACAATAGGAGAGCATATTCGTCTTCGTTCTGTTTGCAGGGATAGTACAGCATCAAGTTCTACTCCTGTTTCATCTTCTGCCTCAATCACTGCAGAAAGGGCAAGATTGTTTCATCCTCTGCATGCAAGGGGAACGGCTAGAAAAAGAAAAGCATCTCAGCCCGCTATGCGGCCATGGACTGGCAACATTTTTTGTTTGGCAGATCGACTGCAAAGTAGCATTCCCTCTACGACAACTAAGCAGACTCTTCACAACGCAGGGCTAGGACTGAAAAAGATCAAATTTCAGCTTATTGACAATAAAGAACAAGTAGCAGAAAAAATTATGTCTGCAGAAAAGCTGTCTGATGAGGAGACTGTCGGATTTCCTCAACTTCGGGATAGCGGTGGTTTCGAGCTACTGCAATGCGAATCAAATTGCCGACACTTTACCATGATAAAATGTCAGTGGTCGGTCAAACAACTTAAAGCAAACATTGGAAGTCAATCTAAGATCTATGTAAGACCAATACAAAAAAGTCTTTCAACAAAACCTCTTAAACCAGAACTGTGGTTAATGTTAAACAAGTGTGCCACGGATGTAACAAAGACTTTCTCATGAATGAGTTATGGTCTCACTTGTATACTTGTACCGTTGGACTTTCTAGCTCATCTGAAGCCGATACAGCAGATGCTAGTAGTAATACTGTTTTGCTTAGACAAAGTCAACAACCGAACATCAGCAACACACATCATCTACCTGATGATATACAAATGAGTTTAAGTGAACCAAATGCAAGAAATATCATCATGCAAGAAAAAATAGATTTGACTGGGGTTGACTTTAAAGATGGTGACAATGTTCAGCAGCTTGACCAAGAGCAAGCAGATGAAAATTCAAATGATCCACTGGTTGCTCAAGACATCAACAGTATCGTGAGTGATGTTTTACAGTATTGTGATAAAAATTGGATGAAATGGACGAAAAATTGATGAAATTGCTGGATGAGAAGACATATTTCTTACTTTAGAAGTCCAATTTTATGGAGAGGTAATGCCAAAATTTTTGCAATTCTACAGTTGCTGGGCGCAATTAATTGATATTTTGGTGATTTATTAGTTTTACTTAATTTGAATATACTTTAAATTCTAGCTGGGAAAAGATCAAGGAGGTCCAAGAAAAGAATTTTTTCGTTTGATTTTGTTAGAAATCAAGGAAAAATACTTTGATACAGCTTGCGTCACCTTTTGATACAGCTTGCGTCACCTTTTGATACAGCTTGCGTCACCTTTTGATACAGCTTGCGTCACCTTTTGATACAGCTTGCGTCACATCTGCGTGGGAATAATAATGGGTGAGAACTTAAGTTTATAAAATTGTTTGTATTGCATGGTTAGATATCCAAATCATGTTAAAAGAGCTGTGAAAGGTGTTTCGTCTGCATTGCTACAATTGGTTAGTTTTGACCTACTTTGATAAGACAATGTTACAAATTAGTTTTTCTTTGCTTTTTACTAAGCGACACAGGAATATTCTCAATGCAGAAAAAAACACTATGCTAGTTGATAATTAATGTACCATAATTCATTCATCTAGGTCTTAGTGTACTGCAAAATGGAAAACTTCCGCAGTTTATATCAGATGATCTGTTGAACGAAATGTTTGAGGCAGAAACTCCAGCCATTCCTATACAAAATTTGATTAAGGGACTAAAAAGAGTTGGTATATTCCAGGTGAAAATAATTGAGTCGGAAATATCTTTTTAATTTTTTTCTTTTACTGTACTGCTTGCAATGAACGGAAAAGTTTAATAAGTATTAATTTCACCTCCCATCATGTGATCAATTGCACCATACTCATAACTAGGTATGTCAACAAATGCCACAAGTAAAAGAGATTTTCCAGCAGAATCAAACATCTGTCCTCACAATTCGAAAAATAAATATGATGATGATTGCAAAATTCAGTCCTGATAGCTCAAAGTAGGACTGTTTTTATATTTTTTCAGAATTTGAATTCAATGATTACTCTTAATACTTTCATTTATGTAAATGCAGTTGGAAGAAGAGGTGATATCACTCTTGGGTGGGTTCTCCATTTTGCCACATCAACTGATGAAGAACCATTATTAGGATTAAAAATAAGTCCATCAATTCGTTTTGCTGAAGTAACGACATCATACCTTGCCAACAGCCAACACATGCATTAATTGCATGACATTGTATTATGCATCCCAAAGGCCAGAATTACAAATGCCAGTAGAGGAAGTCTTGATTTCCCTTTATTATGAAGCATTTTCTTGTAACCATTTTGGCAGCATTTAAACTGAAAAGTTTTAAGAAATATTTGTCAAATTGTTTTAAAAAATTTCATCATAGAGCAATATGTAATTTTAAGTTATGTTATGTTGAGTTTATGTTTGATATATAATATAAATTAGAATGTGTTTTGAATGCACTAGGCCATTATTTTATTAATGGCTTTATGTGGAATTAGTTCAACTCCATCTTGCATAAGTTTTATGGAAATTTCGATGATGTCTGCTTTTCATCTGTTTGCAAAATGTTTTCACAGCTGGGTATTTTCAAGACTGTCATAACGAAAAACTTCTGTGTGCCTTTCAATGATCTTTACTGTGGAAGCACATAGTTCAATTCTAAAGTCGTTATGATATTTTTCCAGTGAGGATAGTTCAGCAAGACAATTTTCACTCAGTTGAAGAATTGGTGGAGTAAAGAGGTGTCTGCCTTCGTGTTCTTCAGCAATTTCATGATGAACATGACCTTCCAAACCATACTCTCTCAAGTCTTTACTTGAGATATCGATTCCAATGGGATTCCTCGCTTGTCCAGCAATCCATAACCTTAGAGGGCTGGTTCTGGTCGATCTCATTCTGTGATTTGACCAAGCCTTCTGCCACATAATAAGTTTATTGTTGATCTCATGCATATATGTATGATGAAGAGCAGCAATATGAATATCATTAAATTGGGTCAAGCAATCCCTCATCTTCAAGAAAGTAAAACAAACTGTGATAGTAGGTCAGAACACCTTGGTAAGCATCCGCCACAGTCTTTCAATCCTTTGATTGTGTGTGCTACATCCAGTGAAGACTGCCACAATTGATCCAAACGTTTCTTACGTCAGGTTTTTTTATTTGCCAGCACTCATATGGAGTCGTGTCGTTGAGGCAAGTAGAAGGACTTTGATTATGTAGATAGGTCGCTGTATTTACTTCCGCTGCCCAAAAGTACAGTGGTAATCCTGCATAAAATAACATCGATTTAGCAGATTCTATTTGTGTTTTACTTAGTCTCTCTGAAACATCATTTTATCCCAGGGTGTATGGTTAAGTGTACTGATGGACAATTCCTTTGCTTTAGCAGAACAACTTGAATTGATCACTTGTATATTGCCCTCCATTATCAGTTCTTACCGTTAAAATCTGTAGCCTGTAGCGTTCGCTGCCGTGCTTACAAATTCTTGAAATTTTGTTAGTGCCTCAGATTTATTCTTTAGGAAGTACACTGTAACATATTTAGTGTAATCTTCTTTAATGGTCAATACTTATTTACTTCCTCCAATTGAGTTCACGGTCATTCGTCCACAAATGTCACTATGCACAACTTGTAATGGATTATTGGTCTTGCTTCTACTTACTTTTGGTACAGGTACTCTGTGCATCCTGGCT